AAGAGAAAAAATCACTGCCTTGAGCCGGTACTAGAAAGCAGGCTGAAAGAGAATGGAATGAAGTAAAATGCGACACTCTATATATAAGTCCAGTATCTACTGGACGAAAGCTGACGAACACCTGGTCAATGCGTCCCTGTAAGAGTTTCAGGATGAAGTAGGGATACGTCACCGTGATAATATCTGTCCGAGGGCAAAGGAACGTAATTCAGTAGCCTAAGTATCAGGCGTTTCTGGGGAAAAAAGGAAAGATGGAAGCGAAAAAGGGAGAGTTGAAGGAGAGAAACTCTTCTCCCCCTCCCCCCTCCCCAATCTAAAATCTCCTCTCCCCTAGCCCCTTAGGAAGGCCTGATACTCAGGTTTTGCTCAGCAGCTTTACAAGACAAATTAAATTCGGTTTTTGACCAGGATCATTGTTGTTCCCAATAAGCGTAGTTGCGACGGACAGTTACAAGTGACGCGAGCGATTTCGTAAAAATGCTAAAAGCCATGCCAGAAAAAACCTCTACTCGCAAGGTAAAAATATGTCAACAGGAAAACACAGCGATAGGGTGGACCAGGCAGTCAGAGCGGTCCCTCCTCTCTCCCACTTATTTTTTTTCCCGCTCCGACTCCACGATCTGAACGACTGGAACAGGCTTTTCGGGCCCTGACAGGAGATATTTTTTGCTGTACTTATGTCAGTTGTGCCAAAAAAAAACCTGTTGTACACCATTAGCTTTAGCGCTCGCGTTTCGCTCGCTCTACTATCCCTGAGGAAATTTAGGGGACTACTCGTAGTCTACATTAGCTTTAAAGTACACGTCATCTTGAGCCTGATGCGAGGCAGGGGTATTTTGCAGAATGCTTAACACCGAATGACTGTGTTTAGTGATTGGGGTTAGGAAACTGAGTGAATCAGGTTCCATTTAGGGTCACTAACTGGGAAAACGGACCTGAAACGTAATTTACCCAGTTTCCTAACCTTAATCACTACATTTCAGAGTCACTCGATGTTCTGCATTCGCCGAAAGCCAATTGCAGAACGCCGAATGACTCTAAAATTTAGTGATTAGGGTTCCCGATCGCCCTAGTCGTTTCAAAATATTTCGAGACCATCCGGACGACTGGGGGGCGATAGGTAGTTTCCATATGAGACGCGGGTCGTCAGCGATGTCTCTGGGTTAGACAATGGAATTTTGGCGCGTGTTTTGCAAACAAGCCACATAAATGGATGATTTTTATTTGTAAAGCGAACCTACTTTTTCTCTTGATTTTGCGGCATTGAGAAGCTAGAACAGTTCCCCAGAGACATGGCATCTCATCGAAAACTTGATGTCACGGACTTTCTCTAATTTCAAACAACCCCCATACGCGCTGCGAACATTTGTATATTATTTTTTCGGCTTCAACGCCATCCGGGCCGAATTTATTCTCGATAACTGGGAAAAAACGATGACTTCTGGGATAGCCTTCGATCGTCCCGATCGTCTGAGAGCGTTTCCATATGATCGCTTTAAAATTTACATGATCGTCCCGATAGAACTCGACTCTATCCAAGCGATCGAGGTCGTCTAGGTCGTCCGGGGTTGTTTGCGATCGTCTGGGTAGCGTTTCCATGTGATCGTCCCGATCGTCTGAACATTTTTTGAGACGACTGGGACGATCGGGACGTTCATATGGAAACCAGGAAACTGAGTAAATCAGGTTCCATGTTGGGTCATTATACGGGGAAAAGTGACCTGAAACTTCATTCACTCAGTTTCCTAACTCCAATCACCAAACTCCAGAACCATTCGCCGTTCTGCCAAATACCCCTGCCAGCACCCGTTGACTCTGAGTTCAGAAAAAAAATTACGAACGTTTCTGCAGAATAGCTTAGTTTATTTGTTTAAGAATAGCGAGATGGCAATTCAAACACAAGAATAGCATGCGAGCAAGCTCTCCTATTTGGGCGAGAGAAGCGAGTCTCGCGAGAACGTGCGAGCGAGCGGCGAAGCTCGAAGTTCGTGTTCTCGCGAGGCTCGCTTCGCTTGCCCAAATAGGAGAGCTTGCTCGCGGGCTAACACAAGAACAGATGGAAGTAACTATTTTGTTGAAAACTTTATGAAGTACAAATTCTTCAGCATATCTGATCAGTGAGAGTAACTATCAAAGAAAGCTAGTCAGGGTCATAACAGACCACATTGCAGGTTTGTTCGAACAAAAAACCAAAGCTAGTCAAGTCCGCTATTTTATACAAACAACAATCAACACGATATAAAAACAAAAACCACAGGTGACACTCGGTGCACATAAAAACTGACGCTTCAGAAAGGTGCAAGATCCTGACAATTTTTACGTTTACTCCTCAAAATTTTAAGGTCAAAATAAGAATTCATAATCTTGATCTCAGTGGTAGGCATCAGAAGAGTTTAACCAAATTGTCATGACTGACACATAGGGCAATGTTGCAGGCACGCAAAATAGGACAAGTTTCCTTCTTTGATATTTTTCTGTTTTGATAAGAAAAATTCTGTTGTGGGAGCAAAGTTCTATCTTGCAATACTTTAGCTCGTTTTAATTTGAGCATCATTTCAATGCACATCCAGGGGCTGGCACCTACAACACGTCCTCAAGCGTGTCACAGCTAAAGGGTTACAATTTGTTTTAGTAGAACATGTGAACCAAACTCATCTAGAATACGTAAACGTAGCGTAGATTCTTCACTAGAACAATATCGTTACGTAACTAATGCAAAAACACAAATTGATAACAGAAAATGATGGATCAATGCACACAGTGGGTTTTCCACAGAGTTGCCAGATGAAATCACTGTAGTTCATCAAGGAGTCAACCAAACGCTGAGTTTTTAAGTTGCTCCTGTCATTCAAGATCATCCACCTGGTACAAACGGCTGCTTCACACTGCAGTCACAAACAGGAAAAACAATTTGTCAGTGAATAAATATATCGTTTGCACATGAGAAGAATAATAATCAAGAAAACCATGACCTAATAAACCTTAATTTTTTGCTATGATTTGTCACGTACGTGGACGGGTATTTAAAACCTGACAGCCCAATAGGATTACGAGCGGTTGTCCCTCTTCCTCAGAGCCATGTGCGGCAAGCAAAATAGTAAAATTAGGTATCCAAATTTATGGTTAAAAGGAGGAGAGATTGGGGCGGAGAGAGAAGAAGGCACGACAGTGGAGGTTTTATTGTATTTTGAATTTCCATTTCAAAGTAACGGAAATTCCCGATTGGTTGGCTACTTGTCAATCTTTCAACAAAAAATCTCAGTCTTGAAGGAGCCCAATTTCCACTGTGGTTAAAACATTTGCAGAACATAGTGAACAAACACGGGTCGAGAACTGCACTCTAGTTTTCAAAAACTAGTCTTTGCTTTTGTGGAACCTGAAATATATTCTCAACAAAATAGAACCTCTTTTTTGTACCCTCAAAATTCCCATACATGACTGCCAGAGATCAATGGCAAATTCTACAATATTGTGACGCATCTTGGCCTTTTTCGCCTTGCTTCTTGCTTACTTTGAGGAACCCCCCTTTTTTCGGAGTGTTTGGGATTCATTACAACACCATCATTGCAATACCTAATGCTCCCAAACCAAACAGCAGAAAATGGACAAGTTGTTTTTTCACAGGAAAAAGCACACAAAATGGTGTCAATTGTCAAAAAGGAAGGAGCTGTCAATTAAAGAGGCATAAAAAGCGGCAAAGCACCAGATCAAAGATGCCATTGCAGTCTCTAATTTTTTCTTCCTCATGCACGCTCTCAATCTATTGTGGCTCAAAAGAAAAATAAGAGACTGTTCGCAGCCAATTTGTTATGTTTGGCTCTCTGATATGGAGCAGCTGTAACCCCAAAACCAGCCTACATGTTATTGTACACGGCAGGTGTTTAAAGGGGAAAGACAAAGTGGAAATTTGACTTGTGATATCATCTTTGCTTGGTCTCTTTTCCCCTTTTCCCTGCCTTTGAGACTCTAGTAGGACAATAATGAGATCTTCAGTGCGTTCAAGTTCAAACAATATACCTCAGCAATGTGCACATCTCCTGTAGATCCAGTGGAAACTCATCCCTGGCTTTTCACAGCATCTTCAACAGCTTGTATGATTTTCTTCATTTTTTTGTCACTATCCACATAGCCATCACCATTCTGAGAATAAAAACAGACAGAATTTTATTGTAATGTAAAAGAAAGCATCTTGGAGCTAGTAATGTGAAAACTATTGCACAGGTTTCATTAAGGGTTTTGAACAGGAGGGCAACTAGGTTTGACACAGGGTTCTTACAAATAATTGCAACCATTTTTCAAAGACTTTTCAAGGACCACCTACTAGGAATATAATTTCAAAGATTGTACAAAAATGCACATTCCCAGTCTATTCTAATAAGACTTAAAGGTTTGAACTGTTTCCTTACCAACTTGTCTACAGTTTTCATTGAGAGTTACTTATTGCATAAAACATAGAGCACTTCATGTAAATAACCTTTAAATTCTCTTAGCTATGATTTATATTCTGTCTTGGACAACCAAAAAGCATCAAATAGTTCTTTCCAGGCCACCACATTCAAAGTTGAAGAATATTCAAGGACTTTTCAAGGACTTGCACAGAAATTTAAGGACTTTTCAAGGAAAAATGGAATTCAAGGACTTTTCAAGGACTTCCCTTAAAATTCAAGGACCTTTCAAGACTGTGCGAGCCCTGTTGACACCCAGGCAAAGAATTGGCAAGGCCCTTTGGGCTTTGCCCCTATTGATGACCGATCAGTTTGGTCAATCCAATTATTTTTGACGACTGATATGGAGGATATTACATGGCCACGCAGGGATACAAAATTTCTCTTCGAGTGTTGAAAAATATTTCACGAGTGCTTGTATCTCCAAGCAGCCATGTAATGTTTTATTTATTATATAAACGCCAATGAACTACCAAACCATTTCACTTTAAATAGTTTTTTGGTGTGAAAGGCGCAATTTATTACATAGCCATAACAACGGTTCTCTACTGACTCCCAACACTAGTTTCCTTATAAAATGCAGTTTTAACAAAAGGTTAAAGGTTAAGTAAAGGGCATGAGACTCAGACAGGACCAAATATGGGCAAACATAAAGTAGCAGGGTCTTTTACTGTATGTACTGTGATAAAAAGCTATTCAAGAAATGTGCTAAATTGACTATGCCAAGAAGATGGAGTAAACATAGAACATTTTGCTTTTAGCACAACCGCACCCAGCTAACTTTCTGACAAAAGCATCAAGAGTAATATTGACATTTCCATATTTCATTCTACTCAATTTCATTTCAGTGAAGTAATGAAATGGAATAAACAGAATGAAGTGTTATGTTTTACTTAAAACACTATCTCAAAGAAACTCCAGTGATCAATCGAAAAATGTTAAAGAAAAGAGCTGCTAGGAAATGAAATGAAAAGTTACTACACCTTTTGCTGTTCATTACGAGAAAATACGCATTCATTTGCGTAAAACGGTGACCAACAGCACGAAGATACATTCATTAGCGCAAAAAAGCGAACATTTGCGCATAAATCAGATTCAATAACGATTTTTGCATTTTAATCAACATTCAATGACATTTTTGGGCATTCATTTGCGTCATTGGGCATACAAAACAGAAAATATACTTTCATTAATGCCAACATTCGAGTCATTAACATTATCTTGAAAATCATCAGGAACAAAAGGCAAACATTTAAGTGCAAAATATGCTACTCATTAACATTCTTCTGACACTGTTTGCAGTTCAATAGCATTCCTGGACAGCTTTAGAATGGATAAGACAAACATTAATGTGCTTGTACAATCAATTGAAATATATTTTCAATTAAACAATACCAATTCCCCCCCAAAATTGGCTCGAATTTGTTTAAAGAATCACGCCGTACTTCGCCACTGTGTGTTCGTCGACGGCTGCAGCTATACATTTACCTTAGACGGCCAGAAGTCATGGTGGGGCGCAACAAGGAGTGGAGGGCGTACCTTAAAGTGTGCGGCCAACGAGGATGAAACTTGACTATGACCATGGCAATACCTACCTATCAAATGTTTTCCTTGGCAGCTACTGGAGTAAAGAATACTGTGTCGGTTTTTCGGTGACTTTCTGGCACGGGCGAGGAAAAAATGGATCCCGATAAGTCGGAGGCCTTTGCGTATGATGGGATACCAGCCCACCTAGACTTGGCCATTCCCACCCTATACGTACACAGCTTATGCTTCCCCCCCCCGACATCGTTGAAAAGGATTTAAGTTGTCAGGAAGCGACATCACAGGCCGACATCTCGAGTCCGGAAATTTACAGATGTATAACAGGAATGAGGGCAAAGCCCTAGCAATCCCACTAGTGGAGTTCGGAAACAACAATTGCAGTGCTTGAAGCTCTGCATAGAAACATGACATTGTGACCGCAGCTAAATGTGCTAAAGGGTACCCTTTCATGCAAACCTACCTCCCCAAATGTTTAAATAGCAAGGTTTTTGAGGGATATACATTTAAAGGACTGAAATTCAGGCCAAATTTGTTTGAATTTCTGTTGTTTAATTGAAAACCGATTTTTGTATATTAAATGTAAAGAACACTCAATTGATTGTACAAGCGCATTAATGTTTGTCTTATCCATCCTAAGGTTGTCCAGGAATGCTGTTGAATTGTAAACAGTGTCATAAAAATGTTAATGAGTAGTGTTTGCACTTTAATGTATGTCAGTTGTCCTATTGACTTTCAAGATGGTGTTAATGACTTTGATGCTGGCGTTAATGAAAGTATATTTTTCTCTTTTGTATGCTCAATGACGCATATGAATGCCCAAAAGTGTTATTGAATGTTGATTAAAATGCAAAAATCGTAATAAATTGAATCTGATTTATGCGCAAATGTTTGTATTTTTGCGCTAATGAATGTATCTTTGTACTATTGGTCGCCGTTTCATGCAAATGATTGGGTATTTTCTCGTAATGAACAGCAAAAGGTGTACTATAACTCAAAGTAAGCAAGGTTTTGAGTTACTGATGGCAAAAATACTGTAAATCTAGAAAGAAAAACAAGGAGAAATCAATTCTGCTTCAACTCAATGCAAGCTTAAAGTTATCAGAAGTCAACTATATCATACTGTAAAACTGTGGTTTAAGTAAGCAGAAACAAAATGGGTCTGAATTCTAAGGACAAAGTGTAATAACTAGTCAGCCAGTGGGGGAAGAGATTCCACACGACACCAACCTTTTTTGAATGAATGAGTTTCCCATTTACTGACACTTCCAACCAGCCAGTAGTTTCTGGTGTTCCATACCCCTCCTGAAAAATAAATCAGAATTAAATGAAGTTCATTAAACTAAAACAGACATCTCTTGAAACTCCCAAAAATAAAAAAAAAAGGTGTCAACTCTAAGGGAAAAATGCACAAGTTAAATTTGTTCCATATACAGACTCACTGTCTTGAAAAATAGCTTTTATCTTTTAATTTTTTCAACTAAAAATAAAACGGTCAGCACAATCACATTAAACTTCTTGCGAGATTAAAGGAAATCTCAGGGGTTATTTCTGTTGGTGTAGAAGGTAAAGAGTTTTCACAAAGGCGGTGACACGACGTCTTAGTTTTAATATTTTGGCTGGGCACGTTCAAATTAAAAATACTGAAATGTCTATTTGTCTGTTGCCTTTATATTTTCCTCGGCAATTTTCCCCGATTTTCAGTGCATGAATCTATAAAAATCTTGGAGAAATATATCGCAAACTGTTTCAAAGGATACATAAATTATCTCAGAACAAACCAAACGAGTTCTTAAGTGCATTTAATGTAGCTGATTTAGTCCCATGCATACACTTGCAATTTGCGAATTTTACCAGAAAAACAAACGTCTAAAAAAACATTTTTTTATAAATCCAAGTAAATATTATCTGCCACTTTGGAAAAACGAACAGACACTTCTAAAACTGCACGCTCTACCGACCTATAAACAAAACGAAAAACAATTTATTAATTTTACAAACACACTTTGTAGTTCTTCTTAGTTGTGTTGTTGTTTTACTGCTGGTCTAAGAACTTGGCTCGCTAAATTTATTAATCGAAATTAACAAACAGCAAACAGCCAAACAAGCGAGGACACCAGTTTTCCTGGTTTGCTTTTTACAAAAAGCGAGGGCAAACAACAAGTCTGTTACCTTAACACTAGCGCCACCAGCTTTTACGATAATGCCTACAAAAATTCCTTGCACAGCCATGCAATGTTTTTCATCTAATACTTCACAGTTGGCGATTGAGGTTTCTTTCGCAATGAGCCTCCGCTTGTGTACCCCATTCAGAAAAGTCATTCCTGGCTTAACTTTCAAATGAAACCACTTTTAAGATGGACAGTATTTTGATCTGCACTCGTTTGTTGGTAAATCAAAAAGCACCTTGTTAGCGGGCAACAACTTACAGAGGGATTCAACTCCACGATACAATCACATTAGTTCCGTAAATAAAGCAAATCCAGAGGAGATATGAACAACCATGTGAATTTTCTGAATTTCCATGGTACATACTAAGGCATATTTTCCTACCATGAGAACATAAAACAATAAAGAAGACAGCAAAATCAACCTTTCTCTTCGCTGACAGCAGATAATTCACGAAAACAACCACGCGAGGAATAAGCGCTTTCAACTTCCGGCGTTTCCGACAGCCAATCAGATCTTGTGGCATTGTTCTAACAGCCAATTAGCAATACGGCCAAAATCTCGCAGTAACGAGCACAAACGTGAGAGAGTTTGTATCGGGCCCAATTTTAGCGGTAGCTGTTAGAGAGAATGTATGAGAACCGCTAAAATTGGGCCTGATCTCAGGTTATATTATTTTATATTCAACGACTTTCTTTGCACACTGGTCCTCCCTTCGGAGCAATGTTTGGTGAGTTGATGTTCATTTTAATATAACAATTTGGGTTAATCTGAATGTCTGAAGGCTAAACAAAGAAAACTGAATCTAGAGCAATATAGGATACACTCATTGGTGCACAACTTTTGCATTTAGAGCCACTGTTATCCTGCTCTCAGCATCTTGATGTTCAGTAACACCCAATTTCAAACAATAAACCAGTCTAAATTTAGGGTGGAAAAGGCAGACTCTTAGTAAAGTCACCCATGAGCATTCAAAAAAGTTCAAGCACATTATATAGGTCTATGTTTACCTCATCACTAATGGCAACCCTTGAAACTGTATTGGCTCAAATGACTTTCTCTGAACGTATTGTTTGTTTTCTGTAATCTTATAAGACAGTGGTCAATTATGTCTGGGTTGACCTAGTTATAGTAGTTGCACTAAACAACAGAAAAATTCCAGGAATGTTGATTGTGTAGTGACCAATCACAATTAAAGTTTATGACATGCAAGAAAACCTCCAAACAACAAACCAATTAATTACCTTCGCTGTTAGCGGTTTAGTTTTCTCACGCCTTATTGGCTATTTCCTCTCTACACAGTAACATTCCATAAATATTTCTGATGTTCACAGTTTTGTGAGTTTCATGGTAAAAATCTTTCGTCAAGATAAAAAATATATTTTATCACTGCAACTACATACCACTTCAACCTCATCGTCATCAAAGTTTTCGAGGATCTTCTTTTCGATCGCCAGAAACTTCAAGTGATAAAATGATCAAGTTAGAGATAAACCTTCTAGCAGGATAGTAGACAACTATCCCCTGAAGGCAAGGTGAATAATGGTGGATATATACCGAGATGTGAAGCGTTGAGGTATGTATCCACATAGCATTATTCACCTCCCTATTGGGGGATAGCTGTTTTAGTGTTTATCAAATCAGTTAGATAAAATTAAAGTAAATTTTGTAAATAAAAGATGTCACTTAGTAAGAGCATTATTTACATTTTAATTGACAGCATTTTGGAGGAATTGTGGAGTTAATGTTCATGACTTTGTGGCAAATCTGGACAGAAAAGAATATTTTCTACCTGTCAGTAAAACCCTAATAGCTACATTTTACTGCTTTTGGGCCTATCCGCTCTAGCAGACAAAAATGGAATCGTCTTTGAAACATCTAAACCAAAAATTGTATGGTGACAGTTTTTGTTTTGAAAAAAATTATATGCACTGGAAACTATTTACTCTTAACAGGCCATCGCATCTGTTATCACTTATGTATCTGTCAAATCGAAGCTTCAACATGCCCCCCCCCGACCCCCCGGGCATTTGACACCTTTGCCGGCCGTCCTGGGGAGGAGGGAATTTGATTATCAGAGTCTTCCAGGGGCTGGGGAATTTGATCCCCATGCTTTAGGGGTGGGGAATTTGAACTGTACCTTCGATTTCATGTAAAATCTTTGGCGTGGCAAGCTATCATGGGGGATGCGGTGTTAGAGGATTTTCGTGGAAAAGATTGTGCCTTTGTGGCCAATTGGTTGCGAGGAAAGGGCTTAAACAAGCTTTGTGCCGTATTTGAAGTATTTAAATTTTAAAATTTTTAATTTTGGATTCAGGCTTTGAATGTATGAATGTATTTTATTGTTGTGTTTACAATGAAAGACAATACCTATATCGGCGATTCAATACAACAACATAGCATAAAATAAGATAAAAAACTCAGGTCAACTTCTTTGACCTACTGCAAGTATGTTAATAAGATGAACGATGGTGCATGTCAGTGAAATGGTCATGATGTAGTAATCTCAATAGGTGGGATCTTTTTTATAGAACGCTTTGTATGTTGAATGACGAAGAAAAGCTGAACATTCAGTGACCTTGTAGCAGCGATTTCCGCCGCTTTGCACGAGACTTTTGTTCGTAGTAAATACGCTAACAGTGTTTCTCAGTTTTTGTTATATTTATAAATATTTTGTTCGACAACTGCCGTCGTCCTTCTGTCATTTTTGTGCCTGTGAAATGTCCCCGGGGTGGGGGCATTAATGAATGGACCCTAGTGTGGGGCATTTGAACGGCATTTTGGCCCTGGTAGGGGGGAATTTGAACAATAATTTTCAAAAAAGTCAAATGCCCGGGGGGGCATGTTGAAGCTTCGATTTGACCGATACATTAATGGCAAGAATAATGGCTTTACAACAAATGATTGACAAGAAACACATGTTTTCATTTATTTTGTTGCTTTTGTCCAGTTTTTAACCAGGAAAATTTTTGTCTGTGGCACCTTTGAAGATTATCCCATTAAAAGGACAAAATTTGTAAAATTGTGACAAACCAACTGCATTTGTTAAGCACTGGTGATGACAGAAAATTTGTCTAAATAACCAGTTTTTTCGCTTGTGCAGGTAGGCCATTCTCTTTATTAACCCCTTTGCCTACCAAGGACGTGTATATACGTCCCGTGTGAGGTCACTCAGCGACTGAGGACGTCCTCAGACAAATGAAATTACCAACAGCCCGGACATTCGAGTTGTCTCGAATGAATAAATTCTGGTCATTGAGAAATGGCTGCCGTTTGCTGGGTGTATTTGGATCTGGCAGGTATTTGTTGATCAAATAAAGCTGCCAATAGTTAAAACTTCCTTGATAATGGCAGGGCCATCACTAAGAGGCAGAGGCCGGGGATTTACCCCGTCTACTACAAACGGGGACCCTGGCAACTTTCAAAGGAAAATAGAAGAAAATAGAAGCAAAATAAACCCCTAGCTGTTTCATTCCCCACCTACTTGTTGTTTGTACTTGGCAACTTGAAATCTTAGTGTGGTCAGTGTAAAACGTAGACTGCGGACTGCAGGCCAGGGGCAAAATGTACACTGAGAGTAAAACGCAGGTTGGGTGCAAAATGCAGAATGAGGACTGCTTCTTCTTCTCCAAATAGCTAGCTGGTACCAGTTACACACCTTGCTTCCTAGTTGAAGTACACTGCACATTTGCCCGAAGTTTCAATGAAAATCAAACAGCTAAAGGCCGCATACCTTGAAGTGCAATACTTTCATAGAAGGTCATCCAAATTTCCTGTAAAACATTTTTCGTTGTTGTTGGAATGATTTACTCCCTTTTTTAATCGCCATTATTCCTTCTATATATGGGACAGCAACTTTTATTTAAGCGTAAACATTGTAGTGTTGTACAAATTCATGGTCACGTGTATCCAAAACTTCACAACTTAAGTTAAGTGTGAGGTCTCCCTTGACGGAAAAAGGTTCAAGATTGCAATTATGTTTTCGGGTCATTGATGACGTTCCAGAGTAGAAAGGGATGGATTTGTGATAGTAGATTTCAAGGACGTGATTTGCGGGATTTTTTTGCCCTCAAACTCTTCAGTGACTACAGTTTATGCTCAGTCTGCATTTTACCCCCCGTCTGCAGTCCTCATTCTGCATTTTGCACCCAGCCTGCATTTTACCCTCAGTCTGCAGTCTGCATTTTACACCGACCAAATATTAGTGACAACCCTGTAATGGTGGCATCAAGTGTCACCCCTACAATATATGGCTTAACACAATATACTCGAATTTTTTATTACGTGCTTTTGCCTGGAATAAGAAAAACTGACTATTTAAGCTATTTTAAGAGCTGCTTTCACCAACTATGGTTGAGCAAGGCTGCGGCTCGGAGAAAAAACTGTAGAAATCCTAATGCTCTGAACCTGTGATCTGAAACAGCCGAAGCATAAACGAAACTTTCATGAAAACAAAGAGCCGTGCACAAAAATATTGCTGCATAATACTAAGCTCCAAAAGTAACTTGCATAAATTATGTAAAACCCACCATCCACACACCCTTTCCGCGTGGGTGAGCTGCACGAATCCTTCAGCAAGCGGTCGAAATAAAATTGTTTGTTTTAAGAGGCAGAGTTTAGTTTTTTAAAGTAGAAGCAGATCCAGGGCTACCTTATCTCTGCTTCGCTGGGGAGGCTAGCTCGGATTTAAAGCCACAGAATCGACATGTTAGAGCACATATCGCTCGCGCGCAAAAACATTTTAGTCTTACTTAACTAAATAAAAAAAATATATAAAGCTTACCTTGGGTTTGTACCCTCATCCACCACTATTAAAGAACAAAAAGTTGTTAGCATAGATCCTCATTGACGAATAGCCATGCGTTTAGGAAGAGAAAAGGTCAGATAAGTTTTCGCTTCTGTCATGATCAGACTGGTACAGTCAGCGAAAATTCAAATTCAGTGCAGTGTACCCGAATGCACGTTGGGGGCATTTCATTCGAAACAAGAATTACTACTTACCAATAAACCACCTTAATCTTCACTGGCATGATGTAACTAAAGGGTCGAAACGGTAATAAAAACCTCAAACTTTGCAGAAATCGCGCAATTATTGACCCTTAAAGCAGCCGTGTCAACGCCTCCTGTTTTCACTTAGGCTCTGTTTTATCCATTTATAAAATATCCCATAATACCTCACGATTAGAAATTTGGAACCCGTCTAGGGTGGTGAGAACATTTCTTTGGATGGGAGATTTTTCAACTTTCTGTTTGTTAAACTTATCCCATCTTGTTACTTTATAACTTTAAAGTGTAGATTACTCTAGAATAGATTTACCATTGAAAAAAAGGTTTTAAAAAAATCGAATACTATTTTTGATTCTGCAAAAGGCTTCAAATTATTACTCAGGGGAGGAGAGGGAGGTGTAAATCTGAACAACCCATCAGGCCTGATATCCCATGAAGCATTGGTGTTTTTCTTCCGCTTGAAAAAGAGCGCGCACTTGTGAATTTCATGAATTTGTTTTGTTGTTCTTTGTCATATATGATTTCATGATCTTTTGTCGGTTATTCGACATGAGTACTCCAAAAGCAAGGGATATTCCAGATGAGGACTCTCTTTCGTTGTATGCTGTCTTTAATGTCTGGGAAGCCCCGAGAAAATTGAGTCGTTCATCTAGGTAAGCTTTAATTTAGACTGGCCCGCTGCACCGGCGGGGCTTCGTTATTTTCGTCAGTTGCAGGGAAGCAAAACTGCTAACAAATGTACGCCTTTACCTTCATCAACTTTATCAGCTTCATAACTGCATAAGAAGCTGTTGCATCACTTTAATGAGTGGTCGGGGCAGACTCCAGGAAAATTCGGGTGGGGGTTTGCAGCGGTCCCGGTTTAGAAGCCGTATTTCACATAAGCCGAGTCGAGCTCACGTGAAGTACGGCGTGTGAATCAATTCGAAATGGATAATTGAATTTGGATCGGCTCAGTCTTTCTTTCCTCCTGGCTCAGCGGGGAATGACGGCTTACTTTGGACTGGCGTTGATTCAGACGCCGAACTTCAAAATGAACCAAACCTCATGCATGTTGATTTTTACCCAATTCCGGACCCTGCTTCTAGAAAGCACAAACCCTCACCCGATTTTAGGCCCAAATGGTTAAAATTTATACCTAATTTCAATCCAGTAAACACATGCCCTTGGGCATTCCTCATACTGTATTTTGGGGAGGGTGGAGGGGGGGACGGAAGGCTCTGCCCAAAGGGGGTACCTTTTTCAAGCATCAGGTATTTGAAAGGGTAGGGAAATCTGTTATATTGGTCATAAAAAAGGCCTCAAAGGTCTAACAGATGCATTTTATGGCTGTGAAAAAGTCGTGGTAAATGTTCCAGTTTTGTGATAGCCTGCGAGCAAGCTGTCCTATTTGGGCGAGTGAAATGAGTCTCGCAAAAACGCGTGAGTGAGCGGTGAAGACCCTCGCTCACGTGTTCCCACAAGGCTCGCAGGCTAGTTTTGTGATTTATTCATAATTTAATTTTACAGCAGTTAAAAGGGATGCAAAGGTCTGAACTAGTTATGTGAAAGGGGTACCATTTCTAGTTCCCAGTAGGAAGGTATACCTAAGGGGTTCCTTTTCCGTCTAAAATGGTATAGAAAAGGGTAAGGGGTTGGACCTAGGGGCAGAGGTTTGCAGTGTAAAACTTTATTGAGTACCCCTCCCCTGGGACCTGTAAAGCTTACAGAAGTAAGCTCCTCATGCAACTCACATGCAACACTTCTCTTGCACCATCAGCAAATTTCTTAATGAGCATAATGTTCCCATCTAGACTTACAACAGTATTTTTTTTGTACTTACACCTCCTTGTAGGCTTATTACATGATTTTAAGGTTTATTGTTTAGTTTGTCTATAAACCACCATTTCTACATTTAATTTCTGGTAGTTTGAAAATTGCAAAGGTCTAGCCATTTACAGAGCAGAAGCAGTACCTTGCTCCTCAATTATTTTAACCCATTTACCCCTAGAAATTTCTCTCTCGTTTGAAGCACAGAGGCCTTTCCTGTGAAACGCCTGTAGTGGTGTGAAGGGAAGAGAGAGGGCTGTATTCGCAGGCTGCACTTAAACATCATGTTTGTGGTTGCCATTGGCTCACATTCCATCACTAGTGATAGATAGTGAATAATAAATTGCACCCCACTTCCTAACAAACAAAGTGGATTATCTGATTATGTACTCTCATCCTTTTTCTATTTTTTTCCTTCATTTCAGTGATAAGGGAGATTTTAAGAAACACTTCCACTGTCATTTCCAGCTTCCAATGCCCAAACAAATTGTAATATTTAGTTATGGAAAATGGGAACCACGCTTCAAAGGACAAGAAATCATAGCTGAGGTGACTGTTGACCCAGAACTTCCACCTCAGAAAATAGGAACAATAACAAGTGAAAGCAAAGTTATCTGTTGGGATGGAGGTTGGAACACCAAGTTTTTGAAGAGGAGTGAAGAACTTTCTGAGCAGGTAATGCTGCAGCTGGTAAAATCTGTTCTCAGGTTAACCAGTATTCTACCTAGATTGATTCAGAATTTCCTTTGTTCCCTAGTCCTTATTATAATTCATTCTAGACAAGAAAATATTTGTTTTATTGTGAAAATGGAATTTAAGTGGTCAACACATTGGACTAGCAATCTGGCCATCCTGTGTACTAGCCCTGCTCTGGCCACTTGCTGGATTTGTTCTCGGATATTGTCCCGAGTTCAAATTCTTGGCCATGCTTGCAAATAGCTAACTGATTGCCTGCTGCTAGTTGTTTTTTTCCTGTTATGTTCTATTTGCATCTTTGTATCTAATTATTTAAGTGGAGTGCCTGTAATCTTGCTGGACAAGCTAGTGCACTTCCACTACAAGCAAACCTTTATCATTTTTTTAAAACGTTTTTTCAAGTTTTTTAAAAGAGGAGTTGCTGACCGTAGTTCTGTTTCATGTTGATACCTTAATTCTTTAGGGGCGAATGGCTAAACTCACTCTTAGAACAGTGAAAGAGAAAACCTGTGAAGACAAGGAAAATAAGTATAACAAGGAAGAGACTGTTCTGTCACCAACTCACAAAGTACAGACAGACAGTGTTAAGAGTCCTATTACACCATCGGGGAATTTTAAGAACCTCAAACAACAAAAGCTCAATTTTGTTGAATGTGGAATTAAGGCAGAGGCAAGTCCTCCAACAGTAACTGAAACAATGACACCTCCACCAACAAAGAGAAGAAGACGAAGTAATGTTGAAACGTAAGTTGCCAATAGATATTTTGGCCTTTCCTATGAGTGACGGGTATTTTTACTGATTGTGATTTCTGTATAATACAGATGTGTAACAATGTTATAATGATAGTGTTTTGATAATATGATATGATAATATTAGATAAAACAAGTTTTTGCTGTAGAAAGTTTTCATGTCAAAAGGCCACAAATCACGACTTTGACCAACATGAGCAAGTTTATTGGTGGAACTGCTTGCTCCCTCCCAATTTTACGACTGTCTGGGTTTAGTTCTCGGACTTAATAAAATAACATGGGTTGAGTTTTGTTTTTTTCATTTCTCTGCTCTCAGAATTTTTTCTGAACTAGATTTATTTTTCATGAATAATAATTGAGGCTGAAACCATTTTTAGCTGAATTTTATTTCAAACTTCCAAAATATTTCTTGGTACACTCCTTTTGGTAACAGCAAGTTAATGTTAGTCTCTGCAATGTGAGTGATATTGTCACACAAAATTATTTTCTTTAAGTCCAGCACAGGGTCAGAGGCAACGTACAGTTAGTAGTAGAGATCAAAGTCCCAGGAGCAATGCCGCAAAAAGCCCTGTTTTACCAACCCCGCCCACTACCCCATCGGCTGTGAACTCAAGTGAAGGTAAGTAACCACTAAGCTAGTACAGATTCTTCTACAATACTATTCTCTCTTTTATCTTTCAAATGTTTCATTTGTTGTTTCTTCTCCTTGGAAAATCACTTCAATTGAATTGTTAAGAGTGAAGGAATGATCAACAGAGCTGGATTGATAAAGATTAATAAATAACTTTAAATTGATAATTGACCCCATTCAGGATTTTGTTGATGCCAATCAAAAAGCATTTTGTCAGGATTTTTGAACAGTCATGTACTTAGAAGTGGGTTTAATCCTTGGAAAAAGCCCCCAAGTGACTTCTATTCAACTTTTGAGTTGTGGAGTATAATTTGCTAGCTTGTGAAAGAGAAGGAGAATTTGATTAAGGAGATCATAAGTCACTTGTAAGACTAGCATTTTATATTACATTGGTCTGTAGGAAAGTAGTTGTCATGAATGTTGAAATCATCATTTTGTTTGTTTGTAGTGCCATCTGGTCGGTGGGGTCACGACATGTGTTTAACTGACAAGAGCAAAGCAGTTTTGATTGGTGGGCAGGGAAGAAAGCTTCAAATGGCTAAAGACTCTGTGTGGACATTGGATTTTGCAAATGGTGAGTTAATGATGTTAACTTCACTGGGCAACAACTCTAGTTGGTACACTAGTGTGCAGATAAAAGACACAGTACAGCGGTATTTCATCCTGAGCTTGCAACTACCAGGATTACACTTCTGTCTGGACCAGATCTTGGCAAGTGCCTCTACAACATCATTGCCTTGGCTCCCCAGAAAATCTGAAAAAATAGATGATGAATCAGTGTATCATGTTGAGTAGATTTGAATATTACCTAGTAGTGTATGAATTTGTTCAAAAGTACTCATTAAAAATCTTGAGCTGCATTTTAAGTAACAATGTGCCGTTATGTGTACATATTTCTATAAATAATCAGTGGATTGTATGGTATGTGCAATTAAACCCCTTAATTCAGGTCAGTAATTTATACTGGCTAAGGAAACTGAAGATTAAAAGTAAGCTTTATCATCAGGTTCAAGTACTAGTCTCAATAATTTTTGCTTTCTTCTTGAATCAGTAACAATTTTTTTTAAACAAATGTTTAATACAGGTTATGGGATGTGGCATCAAGAGAATTGTGAGGGAGGTGGAGCAGACAGACGAATTGGACACACTATGACTTTTGATCCTGAAAAGAAGGTTATTTATGTGTATGGTGGATCAAAAAACAAGAGATGGTTCAGTGACATAAATATTCTGGATCTTCAAACAAATACCTGGTCTGCTGTCAAGGTTTGTGCTAATTATACAAAAGACAAATCTGGATTGGACTGGATTGGATCATACCCTGTAACCCCATCTTAACTGTTTGTCAGCTAGGCTGGGTTGATCCAATCTGGTCCAATCCAGGTTTTGTTGATGTTTTATGATGTCTGTTTTCTTTCTGGTATATATGTGCCCAGGTTCTAGGACTAGCCCTCATTACCCACAGGTTATTCCCCAGCCCCTAAGTGTGATGTTATGTAGGACGACTCACAACAATGATTTTTAGCACCACAGCTCTGCAATGTTGGAACAATGTTGTACCCATTCGAAACAATGTTGCCATGCTAGCTATGTTGCACTAAAAATTGTCCTTGTGAAAGCGTCTTGTGTAACATTACTTTAATGCTGATCTAGCTGTTGTTTGATTATCAGAAGTATGCATTGTTTAACAAACAGGTTGTACATATTGTAATTTACAGTCTATTTTTAGGGTTTTTTTTGGAGTGGACAAAATTCCATGGTATGATCACCATTTTAACCTCCTCAGCAGTCCTTTTATGTTGAATTATTTTTCCCCCATGTTTATCAAAAGCAACTTGTTATAGCCTTTGTAGCTGACGTTTGTTTTGTTAGTGTTCTTGTTTTTCCCTCCACTGTCCCCACAGTTTTGCCACTCATTTTTGCTCCATCATTGCACCTTCTGAACAAAACTGCCTGCTATGCAGGAGCTAGGAATTTGCTGTTGCCTTAATTTTTTAATTTGGACACTGATTCTATTTTCATTGATAGAAAAAAGGCCTTAGGTTTAGCTCAGTCCCTGAATTATCCATCATTTTACCCATGATTTACTCTTTTGCCACAGAGCTGGCATTTTTGAAGCCATCACAGGTTGTTAAACATTATGAATGTTGGGAGAGGGCCACAGCAAGGGGGAAGGAACCATGGAGGGGGAAGGAGCTGGCCAGCAGAGATGAAGCCGTGCCTCATGTTAGATTTTCTTTTCCAGGCTATAGGTAATGCACCAACCAGAGCATATCACAGTTGTAATCTCTTTCATGGAGAGCTTCTTGTATTTGGTGGTGTGTATCCTAACCCAGACCCACAGCCAGACAGCTGTAGTAATGAGCTCTATATCTTTGACACTAATGCAAACAATTGGTACAAGCCACTTACCACACGTGACCCACCCAGCCCAAAATCAGGGTGAGTTTACAGCATACCCAGATTGTCTCAAACCTTAGTTTACAACTGATGCAGGTGATGCCATGTGCCATAGGATATCCATTCAGTCGGGAGTCGACAAATTTAATTATTTTAGACTTGAAGTTGTGTTATTTTTTAAATTTTTCTTAATTCATAATTTTTGTTGAATCTTTAATACCAAGGTGTGTCAGTAGAAATCTGGCATGTTCCAGGCTCTCTGTTGACATTTCAATCCACTAATTTCCCCACCATCTTGGAGTCTTGGACCTGACTATCAGAAAGCAAGCTAAATCTTGTCACTCAAAAGGATTTTAAAAGCTCTATAAATAGCCCTGTCAAGTCCTACAAATAAAGCAGTCAGCTGCTTTCAGCAACAAATTTGGTGTGCAATAAATTTTTTTTATTGATTTAATTTGGTAAGATTTGTACCTTCACTGATCTCAAGAATGGTCTGGAATCGATTATCAGGTTTTTTTTGCATTAAAAAATTCAGCTGTTGGTAATCTTCTTCTTTGTCCAGACATTCAGCATCCCTGCTGGGAAACAGATTAGTTTTATTTGGAGGCTGGGATTTTCCACAGTGTTTCAATGACGTGTCTATCATAGACTTGGGTAAGTTGATTTCATCACTTCTAAGTTCTTGCTGAAATGTGAAATTTATTTCTTCTGATGGTCATTAAAAAATTTTTAAGGTGACTTGATTCAATGTCTTGATGTTTCCTTTTGGTTTAGATTCTTAAATAATAATGATGTTATAAACTTTGAATCATGTTACTTTTATTTTTTCTCGTATATTTTTTTCTGGTTGCAAATTGTCTGAGTTGTATAATTATCATTACTCTCACAAACACCAGCAAAGTCATCATCATTATCATCATCCATATCTGTGTCATCATCAGTTGTGATTATTATAATATCAGTGTTGTTATGATCATTATCATCCAATCAGTAGTTTCAAGAAGCAACTTATTGTATTTTGTTGCTGGAGAATTTATCATAATTTTTAATAAAACCAATGAGCAGACACACAAGAGATGTGTTATATTTTTGAAATCTGGCTGTCTGTAACATAGCTATTCCAGTTTATTCTGTGGATGCAAACATGAGAAAAAGAGCCAATGCATCAAAGATGTATGAAATTGAATGCAGTAATTAACTAGCTAGGAAAGTGCTCGGCATTGATTCAGACTATTATAATTTTACATCTGTGTCTTTTACAGCTATTATGGAATTTTCAAGCCCCACCATGACTGGTTCATTACCATCTCCCCGTAGCTGGCATGCATCTGCTGTTCTTCCAAGGCAAAGGATATTTATTCATGGGGGATATGATGGAAATCAGACTTTATCAGACTCTTTTGTGTTTGATCTTGGTGAGTTCACCTGCTGAAACAAAGATGTGGTACAGTGAATAAATTATTGTTTATTGTTTTGAAATTTTTTGCTCTCACAGGAACCTTTACCTGGATTACAGTTCAAACAAGTGTCTCCCTAACGGCCAGAGCAGGACATGTGGCTCTTTGTTTGGCAGAACAGAGTGAACATGAAGGAAAAGAAGAGATTGCTGTGTTTGGTGGTGGGGATAATAACGGGGGCTATTTCAATGATCTGGTTGTTTTTTCCCCTTCACATCATTAATATTAAAGAATATTTTGTAAAATAATGTTCTTAGCAATATTTTTAACAATTTTTTTTGTCCAGCGGATTATCCGGCGATATGAATTGACCACTCCAGAAAATACCATAACATACCATAATGTTCTTTGTTTGTCACCACAAAATTTTGCATAGGCATTGTCTTCAGTTTCTCTTGGGAGTTAAAATGGCCCCAAGAGAAACTGAAAACAATGCTTATGCAAAATTTTGGGGTGACAAACAAAGAACATTATGGTATGTTATGGTATTTTCTGGAGTGGTCAATTAGGGAAACCCATTGTGTTATCCACTAGATAGAGATTTATCCACTGAATAGAATTATCCATCTTTTGACAACTGGGCCCAGGAGCCAATCGAGGTGGGTGTTATCCATCAAAGCTGAAGGTAAAGGGCGGATTACACCCTCCTCAATCTGCATAATAGGTCATATTCCTTGTCACCTGTTTGCAAACTGAAGTTTTCATTCGTGATAACTTTGGATACATTGACATGCTGAATAGTGTTACTCATTAATATTTTTCCCGTTAAATGTTGTAACATCCTATAAAGTAATACGTTTCAAATTTTAGACATATCGTCACATTTTGCTGAAAGAAATAATAAATATTATCATAAATGTTACCAGGGTCGTGAGCTGGAGTTATTTTTTTACATTTTGATGAGTTACTATAAAATACAGTTAACTCTTACTGTCAGTGGTCAGTTTGAATCTCAGTGTCAGTGAGAGACTGGAACCAGGCGGTAGGTGATGGTAAGCAACATTCCAATGAAGGAGTGTATACTTAATAAAGTATCTCTATGTACTCTTTGCCCTTCTACCCAGAATTTCTTGGTTTACCCATTTGTGACATTTATCCTTTTATACCCATGGGAAATCAGTCAGAACTTGTAAAATACATGAAACCAAAAACATCAATGTAACAATGTTCAAACATTATTTAATATTAATTTTTGCCTTCATTGGATGACAATATCAAAAACCTAACTATACATAACAGATTTAATGGTACATGTCAAACTTCACAAAAATATGGCTATTATTTTCCTGTTATTTATGACAAAGCTACATGGCAATGAAAGTTTTAAATAAGAGTTGTTGGATTAGAATTGCAATGGAAGCAATGCACAATATTTAAGGTTCCTATCATAATAAGAAATTCAGCTGTTTCAAAAATAATTCTTTGCATTTTCTGGCCATGCAGAAGGAATAAAATGTTGTTAACCCGAGTGCTGGTGAAGGTGAAAGGTATAACTATACTTCCACTTGAAATGATATTAAGGTGTGAAAAAATCTGATGGTGGTGGTAAAATAACTTTTGAATGCATTTGGCAGACAAAACATGCTGAGTATTGTGGAATTTTTTAACCATACATCACTATTTAGCAAAACTGTATTCTTTTCCTGTAGTATAGCCCCACCCTCTTTGAAATAATAAAAACCCCTGATTTGCCAAGCACCAAGTACACATAGGTCGGGGTGTTTCAAAAAGGCTATATTAAAAGTGGCAAAGGATACTTGGTATGAAATCTACTTCAATTTATTTAATGTTATAAGGATGAAAAATTTGCTGAAGCCATGAAGCTCTCAAATTTGTTTTCTCATTGACCTTTGAAATCACTCCTGCTGACATTGGGTCACATTCGTCAATTGTTTTGTTAACTTATTAAACAAGCCGTTCTGAAAGCCTTGAGCAACCCAAAAACTGCTGTGTCTTGCCTGTAATTAACAATCAGATCCTTTCTTCAATTCACTGATGATACACTAGCCTGAGTAAACAGCTGACATTCCACAATGCCACCACTGGTTTCCCTGCAAAATGACGTCTGAGAAACGAGGGCAGCAAGTACACTACCCAGGTCTGGGTAGTGCTTCTGATTGGTTGAAGCATATCTCTCACACGACATGACCAATCAGAAGCAATACCAAGGATCTAATGGAGCCAAAACCAATTATTGTGGAATTGCACACATTTTAGGCATCCTACTGATGAACAGTTGCCACACATATATTTTTTAGCAACTACAATAATTTGCAGTCTGTTCACTTTGAAGATCTGGGTGGTGATGCATCATCAGTATGGAATTTCTGCGCTTGTTTCTAAGACGTTATTTTGTGGAAACAAGTGGTGGTGTCGGGAAATCTTTGTTGTTTTCTCATGTCAATGATACTCTGACTGACTGCCAGACTACAATGCTCTTCAATAAATCAAACTGTTATTATTTTCTGTTTTTTCAAACACAGGCAGGGCTGTGCTCTGGCAGAACCCAGTGGCCCCTGGTGCCCATTTTTTGCTCTTGGGTGACTAGTTTTTCATACAAATCATATGCTGGGCACCGTAGATTTAACAGTTTCAGAACATTGGGCTCCCTTCAATTTTCCTTCGAGCACAGCCTTGACTACTGGTTGCATGGTCTGTTTTGGAAAAATATTTATCGTGATAACTAGATAATGCTAATGTATGGCCACTTCCACATGAGTCCGTGTAAGTTTAAAAAATAATGTACCCAAACTTACACCGTATGCATTCACAGCTTTTATTACATTGTAGAGGTTGAAGAAGCTCTGCTTATTATTTGACACAAAAACATACTTGGACCTTGGACTGTCTAAGAATTAAGCTAATGAAAGAGTCATGTTTTCGCCTACAATTAGGGTTATGGTGGACCGTAGAAATGGGCAGCTGCTGGTACAATAAGACAAGGTTACATGTATGATGAAACTAAAAGGGTGTCAGATTTTAGTGATTATGATACAATAGCTATAATACAATGTTTCAAGTTAATAGCATGCAGGTCTTCAACAATTTCTCTCTAACACTAAGTGTTAGAAGTCTTAAAAGTGTAACCAAACAGCCTGCAAAAACAGTCTTCTCTCTTCACTCCTCACTGCTAGGAACATTTTGCAGAAGAGACCTCTCTGCCTCAACAACAGAGATTTCATAGTGAAGACAAAAAATCGGTCTGGAATCTGGTGGGGAGTTCAGATTGGTTAACGCATCAATTATACAAAACAGTCATTATTCGTTTTGCTGTAGCTCATTTGCAGAAGAACTCAAAATTTTTCCACAGTAGGCTAGGAGGAACATTAACTCAAACAAATTTACATTATTTACCCTATAACTACCAGATTAATAATGTAAACTTTGATTTATGTCATCAGTATTGAATTTCTGTCATTTAGGCGCACACATCCCTCCTGCAAAATGTTCCTTGTGGGGAGGATTGAGGTGAAACAGCTGTATTTGTTGGCTATTAACCAAACTGAACAACTGAATAGAGATTTGCACCACAGGAGAACAGCAGCAAACAGTTTTATGAAGTTTACAATGAATTTCAGATAAGTTGAAAAATCACCAACATCACTTTTAAATATTATTATACCAGACATGACATGCTGTCTGAATTGGACTGATATGCACATAGCATCCTACAGAAGTGGCTTTTGTGTCTAATATTAATTCTGTACACACGTATGATGAATATACTATAATTGCCTAAATATTAACTCAACACTGACAGAAAATGTTTTGTTAATATTTTTATAATCTCTCTCTCCCTCTCTCTCTCTCTCTCTCTATATATATATATATAGAAAGGGGAACTCAGTTTTATCCCAAGACAAGCTATTTTACAACTTTTAATTTACTGAGTATTAACATGCATGAAAAAGAGCCATAAAATACAAATAGCCAGCATATAGCTAGATACAGCAGCAATGCTACAACAACATGTAACTAAGCTAACAAGACATGAACTAACATTTCTGCCAGGCTCTACACAGCATGCAATAAAGGGCAAAGTTACTATAATACCGTTTGCTAAATTTCACGCCTGTGAGTAAATTTTTTGAGAAACTACATCTTTCCAAAGGCCTTGAATCTCTTCAACATATTCTCTGGCATTTCTCTCTTCTTGAAGAAGCTGCTGTTCCAGTTCTAACAGCTCGTCAGTGCTCTGCGCTACCTGACAACTGTCATCATATACCATGCTTCCTGGCACAGCCATGGCCTTTAGTGACGCTGACATGTTAGCAGTGTACCTTGTGTGATTGAAGACTTCAGACAATGAATTCACACAGTTCAACGTGGAACTTGACACCTTGTGCCCCACAAGAATTTGCTCATTAACCGATGTGCTTCCCATCAATCTTGTAAAACAGTAAGGCACCCGACCCTTGGAAACATTTTGAAGACTGACTGGTTCACCAGTAGATGCCTGCAACAAACAACACATGAATTAACATTAAAAATATAAATGTGCATGTCCATAAAATTTGCTTAGGTTTAAAAAGGAAACTACCTACAAGCCTAAAAATATATATATTTCTATCAGTTGGTGCATACTCTGCATGGCCAAGCTTCAGCATACTTTTTTTCACCAGAAAAGTTAGCAGTGCTATCTTTATTTATTACGGATCACAAAATGATAAAACTTCTAACACTTGATAACCTGTTTCCACCAATACCACATTCTTGCTAAGACTCATGGTAGAAGGACTACGACTATCACGTTTTCCAGCCAAAATGGCCCTAGTTCATGCATGAGCACTTCTAAGTAATGAGAAAATCTCATAATCATAGTCGTCCTTGTCTAAGAATCTTAAGGTGTCTATTGGTTCTCAAACAGCGGGCCAGCACAATGACAATGCCACAACATAGTCAGTCATTGGCCTTTAAATGCAGTATTTTAATGTGGCTAAATGCAATTTAGGCAAGGTTAATCTCGAGCTAATGCTGCCAGCGGTCTTGCCCAGTTTGCACATGATCTGTGGGGGTACCCCTTTGGAGCTCGCAGGGGCAAACCACATACAGACTTTCTCTCTAGCGATCGTTGCGATCAGTGATTTTGAGAGAGAATCTTTGCAGATTCATTAGCTGGTACATAAAAGACTACTCACCTCATCACAAACAAGATCACAGAGAGATGCAAGCTTAGCACCCAAACCCTGGGCTGGTTGCCTCAATGCTGCCACAATTGGCTTTGGAAAGTCTATCATAACCTGAGCCAAATATCTAGAAAGAAAACACAAAACAAAAATTTACAAAATTATTAACCTTGTCACCTTGTGCCAAAACATAAGCAATCAACATTTACATAATCCCCCCCTCCACACATACACACAATGTTAGTATGGTGAGACTGACAGAGGTAATGAATTCTACGGACCTTAAGATGAGAGGATGGCGACAGCAGCGAAAATGTCATGCAAAAACTGAATTGGTGTTTTTTCAATCTTCATAGCGATTATTCCACTGAGGTCATTTACTTTGTCAAATGTAGGCAAACTCTTCTTGAGTTGAATTCCTAAGAACCATATACAAGTCCGGAAAGAGAAAGAAAATTCTGTGGTGGCTTGTTTATGCCCTCCTTAAAATGTGAATTTAGGCATTTTCACACTGTAGTTGTACAGTAATGGCAAAGAAATGTGCAAAAAGGGTGTGCTGAATGTTGTTGTTTTGCTGATAAAACCTATTGCTTTTTTGATGTTCTTGTTGCTGTTGCTGTCATCAGACAATATTACAGTAACAAAGCCCCATGGTTATTCCTTCATGTCCTAATGTCAACCTGTATTCTCCAAAAACATTCATAGAAAACGATCTGAAAGGAAATGAAAATTACTTCAAGTATTAAATACATCAAGCATGAGACACAGTGTTTTACCACTGGATGAAAAACTGAGAAGAGAGTTGAAAATATGTTGCACAGCTGAGTATTTTTTAGTGTGGCTAAATGTAATTTAGGCGAGGTTAAACATGAGACAATGCTGGCCAGCGGTCTCCACCACTAATCGTATGTGGAGCGGTCTTAGGGTTTAGCAGGACTTTAGTGCTTTTACATCACTTTTGTAGGAGTCAATCATTTTGCTCACGTTGCTTTTGTGTACAGTAGTTATAGTTGTTTTTTGATGAACTCTGAGGTGTTTCATCTAGTGATGAAGGTAATGAAACACTATGTCGAATGCTTGATATTACTTCTCAAACAAAATGATTTTAGAAGAGAGATTAAGGATGCAAAATGAGCAATTTTTCATCTGATTTCCAAACAGTCATGAAACATTAATTTCCTTTGTACTTTCTCTATGAATAATCAATAAGTTTGAGAAGTAAGCGGGAAGTTTGAGTCACTGACGCTAAAACTGCAGTAAATGTATGAAGGAATACAGAGAAATCAATTTTTGCGATGTTCGGGTTAGCAAGGGTTCGAGTTATTGGAAGTTGATTGACATTACAACTTGAAAAGTTACAACATTACAAATTTGTTTAGATGTAATGTACATACTGGTACTTTTTATATTCTGTTGAGTTATCCTTATCACACCAATCTATAGAGTGAGGGCTACAAGTTTACGAGTGCAAAGCATTACCGGTATTATGGGAAGTTTTTCGGTGTTGCAGATGGGTGCAATCAACAAATGACTTAAAACAAAACATTGAAGACACTGAACTATACCCACAACATAAAAATGAACCACCAATGGTTTCCCCAACACCAAGGAAATATCCTATTATGTAATCCACTCATGACACAAAGTTTTTGTCCATCTACAGAATATGTTCTTGTGATTAACAACATAAACAAGAGTTTTGTGGACAAAAATTGACATTGGAAAGTCACCCAAACTCAGTCCTGCACCCACACTAATACCTTAACATCTCTAATAAGTTGAAGAAATGTGTTGTGATAATAAAAAATTATGCTTTCATCCTGATTCAGAAAAATACATCCAGTCATTATGTTATTTGAATTTATCACTGGCATTTTGTCATCTCCACTTAAGTGCACTGGAAAATTTTAACATATCTGTGCATGTTACATTCCTAAAATGCAAAATAAAGAGTATCCTATATCTCTTTCCTTTTGTATCTATATTTGCCTCGAATAATAAAAAAAGATTTCTATACAATGTTCCAGAGAACTTAAAGAACTAATAATATTCAACAGATGCTATAAGGGATTTTTTACTATATCAGAAACAGATGCCTTGGAAATATTGAAAAAGGCCTAAATATTGTGGAAGATGTGGAATAGGAGAAAAAAAATGACTTGGTTCTATAATCTTCTCAGTGCTCTTCTTCAAGTTTATGAACATAAGTTATTTCAGAATCCCTCCAAGAATAAAAGAAATTCAAAATCTTTCTTGTTTTCCTCAAAGGAAAAACCACCTGTTGTTTAGTTGCCAAGGTAACATAACTTAAACAAGTACTGTACTTATTCAAATCTGAAGGTCTTAGGTGTTAAACTCCTGTTTAAAGTAGTTTTAGCAAGGGTTTCATTGGAAGACAAGTACCAGAAAAACTGACTTATCTCCACTGCTCTTGGAGTATTGCCAATTATTTTTCGGAAAAGAAAAGAGCCACTTTCTTATTAATTTCAGAAAACCTCTTGAAAAAACATCCCCAGTTTTGCAATATCTTTCTCATGAAATCTCAATTCTATCAGCATAGAATACAGCCCTGGTGCTAGTTGTTCAAAAGTTGGATAGTGCTATCTGTCGGATAACTCGCTATCCACTGGATTTGATTGGTTTCTGGTGGATAGCGCTATCCATTTTTTGAACAACTGGGGCCAGATGGTGTGAACAGAGTGCGTCTTACAACATTCTGAAGAGGTGTGAGTGTTAAGCTGGTTTGATGCAATTGCATTGTACATCCGCGTATTTTTAGGTTAAATGCGTTAAGTAAGTGCATTGTGCATCACCTAAAATTTATGGACAAGACTGTTGTGGGAAATGCCTGAGCTATTTAAACACAAGTTAAGAGTAGCCTTAGTACAGTTGTGTCAATATTTTTCCCCTTTGTAGGCAATGTAATATTCTGTACTGTTGCATCTTGTTGTTGTTACAGTACAGGCCAGGAAAACTGCTGCATTACACATTTTTTTTTGCATTTAAATCTGCCATATTGCACACAATTTACACAAGAGAAACCTGAGAAATATCCGTGTAAAAAAGTCCATGCAAAAATACTTGGGAAAATACACACAAAGTTTCGGAAGCGGTTAATTGTAACACATAGACTGCAAGTATTAATATGAAAATTTTCATCTTTGGCTAGATTTGCCACATGTACACTGCACGAAAGCGCCAAGGGCACAAGGGATACTGAAATCTGTAAAGCAATTCAATGAAGGACGATCTCTAAATAATTGTTCAAACATAAGCACCAGTAAATAAAACAGAAAGCGGATTCTGACATTTTATGGGTTGAGCCCTTCACTTTACCTTGATGAGGCTAACAAAGAAAACCATGTGATACATCTTACTCTCTTTGTTTTTGAAGCAGCTATACACCAAGAAACACTCAAAACCCTTGAGTGAACTTCAAACATTGCAGCACATGGAAAACATATCCAAACTTCTCTCAAATTACATGAATCACTTGAAATTTACCAAAACAATTTGTCCGTACAAAACAGTCCTGAAAAAAGGTTCCACTTTTACCAATAGAAAATATTAAACGAGGTAAGTGAACTAAGCGAAATCCAAAACCTTAACTTCTTTCACAGCTTGCATTAAACAGATTTGTCTTTCTTGCTTTTGACTTTGTTACACATATTCTTCTTTTCTTTTTCTTTGCTTTTTACTTACTATCTGTAATATCTGATTTGTAATTATAGAATTAATTTGGCACGCCACGAGTGACGACTAGCGTTTTTGGCTAACTGCGAGTCAAGAAATTGTACAGGCAATATTATGATAATAAATGTCTCGTCTTGTCTTGCGTAATTTTAACTTTTATGGAAATGAGACACTACGAAAAACTGAGAAAATGCACTGTGAGGGAAGAACAGTGTTTTCAGAGTTCTTGTGAGCTATCTCAGAGATCATGAAAATATTACCAGAACTTGCCAATCAGATGGAAACTTCATAATTATATGGAAAACATTGTCTACTTCAGTTTTGAAATCAAAAAGTCAAAATGACTGTACTATAACTCCATAGTAAATGGCTTTTGGCCAACCAGACCTGGAACACCTTGTTTGTTTACACGTACTTTAAAAAATGGCTTTTAAATAGGCTGCAAGTGGACTACTGTTTGTAGAGAGACCACTACATTATTGAAACCAGGAATGTGCACCTACTATTAACACTTAAATTTGTACCCCGATTGCTTACTTGAGAGCATATTTCAAGCTTAAACTCAAATCTTGAAAGTTGTGGTCACTGGGCCCAGAAAGCTGCTGTGTTTACAGTCATGTTTAAATTCAAGGTTGAGGTTTCAGTTGTATTATAGAAAATATGATATCAAATCAAAATGGATGTTTCCTAGGTATTAACTTCGCTTTCATTAGATGTTGATTTTATACTTGGCTGTGGGTCCCAAAAAAATTATTGGGATGTTCAAGCAACAGGCCCCTGGGTACAAATGTGAGTATTTCCTTGAAATCTCAATGACAGCATACCTGATCTTATCCACATCTTTACGATAGTGTCGAGGTTCCTCCTCACAAGGTACGTCGATAAGATCATTTAACTCAATGCCACAGAAAGTGTCATCTCCAAGGCCACTTATAACAACAAATTCTGATTCATCGGTTGCCGCATCTTCCAGCACAAGAGTGAGAGAGTCTACAATTCTCTGGTTAATCTTTCTTCGCTTGCTTGATGATCGACTAATCGTTACATGTAGATAATCATCCAATCTCTGAACTGACACCTCTTTACAAATAGACTGTTTTTCACAAGATGGCAATTCCTCAATAGATGCACAAGTGTCTTCATTGCCAGCATCATCTCGCAATAATTGAAAATGCACATCCTCAGCGGATGCCAATCTGTCAATTTCAGACTGGTTCTGATGAAGCTGAATTAAATCATCCTTCCAATAAGCTTTGTATGCGAGCCTGCTTAAAACAGTCGCTTCCTGGCACTCATGGCCAAGGAAACACTTGAAGTCAAGCTCATAATCAACTAACTCATTTGAAGGTGCCCAAGAGCTTGTACCATCCTTCCATTGAACTAAATACTCATAAGTCCCTGATAAATTTCTCCTCATTCCAAGAATTCTATCAGCTTTGTTTCTCCTTCGACGTTTGAGAGGAACATCAGAGGTTTGCTCAGTTTCCTCCACCAGGTCAAATTCATTGTCAGTTGTATCACCTTGATTTCTTATCTGTAGAGTTTTCTTAACAATATTCACAGCTTTACGTTTCAGCTTGTGAGTCACAGCTTTCTTCTTCAATGCAGTAGCTGCAAGAGGATTCTTATCTCCCTTTCGTTGTAACTTTAATTTCTTTAACTTACGTTTCAACATAGGCCCTCTGGCCTTTTCCTCGTCCTCGTCCGTAAAGCGAAATGCGTCTCCTTCAATCCTGTGTTCGTCAATAAATTGTTCAGGTTTCGGCTTCGGTGGACGGCCACGTTTTCGCTTCACCTCCTTTCCGGAAGATAGAATGCCACAACCGTTCACCTTAACAAACTTTGACTTAACCTTCGTCATGTCTTTTTCCGGTGACGGTAATAAACACTCCAGTGAATTCTTAGAAGGCTTCAACAACGAGCGTTTACCGGTAGCTTTCAAAATAGGCCGCACCCAAGGTTTTTTAACGCCATTTTGTGTCCTGACTATCTCGTGTTTTGTTTCGCAACTTTCTAACAATTTCTTCGGTGGCCGACCTCTTCTCCTGGGAGTTGATGGCGCCAACTCACAATCATCGCTGCTCGACGAAAGGCAGTTATTTTGCAACTTGCGTATACCTTTCGACAGTTTTCTTTTCTTCCAAAATTTTGAAGTTGAAGGTGACGCGAGAGATGCTTTCGTGGCACTTGTAGCACAATTGCCATGTGGCGAAGGACTGTCAACTGAATGAAACTTCGTCAACAGTGCAAGATTTTTAGGAGGCCTTCCTCTCCGTGACTTTTTCGGAGGTATTTCGTCAGAGTTTGAAGTCTCCGAATCTAATTCAAGATCATTCAGCGTTCCATTCACGCAAACAGATTCACTTGGTTGACGGCGAGAGTTATTGGAATATGTTGACAAAGAAGTAGCCACGCCAGACGTCGAAGCAAGGTCAATTCCGATTTCACACTCGAAATCTGTCCTGTCTCCATTTTTCCTTTTTGGCGACATTACACTTCCTTTCGTTTTATGATTCTTTAAAAAATCACAAGAGTCTCTATCCAAAGATTTTGTTCTACCATTCTTACACAATGTCGTGCTCTTACGACGCGAAGAATCTGATAATAGACGCTTTCTTTTCTTCGACGAATGGAACTTCCTCTTCGTGCTCGCATCGTCCGAATCCGACTCTAAATAACGAGCGGGTGTTTTTAGAGTCCTTCCACCATGAGTAACCAAAGGAGGATTAAGCCCTAAACCTTTGAAAGTGAACTCTCTTCTACGGTCGCCCGTATTCTTTGTGTGATGGTCTGGCGGCCATTTAATGCCATTCAAACAATTGTCCTCACAGTCCAAACTTCTTACGCTTGATTTCTCTAAAGGTGGTTCGGAATTCGAAGTTAAAATCATGTCCATGTCTTCGTCCCGAGTTGGGCTAGCCGTTAAATCATCTATTCGCATAACTCACGTCCACCATAAGCGGAAATCTCGCTTCAAAATACAAGAAGCGGAGACAAATAAAACTTTTTTCTATTATTGAATGGTGCACGCTATCTGCGGCTACGAGCGCCTGCGCCATTATTTAAATTCCCCCGCATGAGTAAACAAAGCTTTCTGCTGACCATCACTTATTGCAGATGCGGCTAAGCCAAGACAACCACCCCTTGATCTAGCTTAATATCGTCATCCATATATTTCCCAAGCTTAACAAAACATTCAAGAGAAACAGTTGCCCAAGTACACAAAGACATTTTTCTCAGACTTTCGAATTACTTGACTCCTTGCCCTCCTTATACCTGAGCTGCACGAGCAACTCATAAGCAACTCACGAGTTTCTAAGTAGAAAAATTGTAAACTGATCCGCAGGGACCGATCATTACACACTATGGAGAGTGGGGAAGGGAAAAAACAAGGGGGTGGGGGCTCAGAATAATTAGAATGGGGGGTCATCTTGTTGATGTTTCCATAGAAGAGAAAACGTCTAAACAGAGTGGAATAATTTCAAAGATCCTTTAACGGGAATAAGGTTAAGAGGGATATTAACCCGGCAGAAAACAGAACGACAAAAACAACGCTTCCGGCTTATTGTCTTGTTAAAATCTATAGAATATTGACACTGATGAATACCAATACTCTGTTTGGATGGAATACATATCCACCTAACATGACGTAACAGAAGTTTGTCAAGTTTTTTAAAAAAGTCGAAAAACGTGTTTTGTTTAATCTTAAATTGAATCTCGAATTGAAGCTTTATAGTGTGTCACTACTGATCTCCTGAGATAACATAGGGCGCACACCTGGTGTTTGGGAGGTCAGGGTTCGAATCCTGTCGGGGACTCAGATTTTTTCTTTGTCTCACGCTCGTGACATGCTGATCATTTCATTTTCACAACAATCTTCCAGCCTCTAGCTGGCCTGTCATCGAATACAGTGGAGGACAGGATCTGACCTAAGAAAAACATCATGAAGATAATTTGTGTAGGTATAGGAAAAACTGGTACTACATCCATCTCCAAAGCTCTGCGTCATCTTGGATACACTGTTTTTGACTGGGAAGAACAAGTATTTGATGTCCAAGACCACTGGGTTGACTTTTCCAAAATGGCGCCCAGTTAAATGTGAAGAGAGTCTACCAACATGCTGACGCGGTCGTGGACGCTCCCGGAAATTTTTTCTGGGAGGAAATAGTGGAAGCTTATCCTGATAGTACAGTAATTTTGAGCGAAAGAGAAGAAGATTCTTGGCTGAAGAGTCTGGTCAATCAACTTCAAGTCTTCGAAGCAGTAATATCTCGCAGGTTTTTGGCTGTTCTTTCGCTAACTTCAAGAAAACAGATCTTTATTCTTTATTCTCATTTGACCGCTATTCTTGGCTCTGCAGACCCCAAGTCGGCTTGTGTCTTGCGTAAGCGATATCGCATGCACAATCATCGCTTTAAGTCACTTGTTCCACCAGAGAAGCTGTTGGTGTACAACGTGAAGCAAGGTTGGAAACCGCTGTGTGATTTCTTGGGCTGCGGGGTTCCAACTGTTGCCTTCCCACATGAAAATGTTAAGGGCGAAATTGCTGAAGTTCCTTTGTCTGAGACAAGGTCTGGTCGGCAGGTAATATTGGAGATACAGAGAGCTCTGATTGTAATCCTTTCCGTTATCGTAGTTATTGTAGGTTCATTTTTTGTCTTTTTCTATGATTAACTGTGACTATAATTGCAACCTTGCATTGGCCAAGATAACGTTTTAATAAAATGCATGCACTTCTGGCATCGTAAGATAAAGTATAAGTTGTATAATTGAATACATATATCCGTGCTGTACCGTGTTAATGAGTTGAAAATTGCTTGCGTATAGCTTACGGTGAGGTAAATGCAGATTTATATTAGAAACTTCACCATATATAATTAATATACAGGGGCGTAGCTAGGAAGGGTCCTGGGGTGCCCGTGACCCCCCCTTGGTAGGCCTTCTTTTCAGCAAACAACCTACAATATTCAGGTGGCGAAAACGCCATGACAATATCTTGGCCGTAAAAGCCATTGTTGAAAAGCCCACTTTTTATGTAAAGTATTTTCGTCAACGGCTCTTGTCTTTAGTTAATATGGGCCTTCATTCCGCGATACTACGACTGAGCCCGCTGATACACGAGGGAGAGCAGCGACGCACGGCGTGGAGGTCGACGTGACAATCTGGTGAGAAGCCTCTGTGACCCCCCCTTTGGAAAATCCTGGCTACGCCCCTGATATATTTTTCACTTGTATGTCATATATGTCATAGCCTGAAATATTCAGAACATAACTCTGTCGATTTGTTCGCTGTTCCCGAGAAAATTTTCGCGGGGTGCTAGTGCAGTGCAGCTTCAATATCATGTTGACGTCATTATTAGAGAGAATTAGAATCGCGTTCAAGGCAAACAGCAAACGTCAAATTGTACCACGTGACCAAGTTTTTTCTTTACTTGTCGTGTACTGTTAAACTACTATCACTCTACGCCTGAAGAACAACTGGGAAATGAGGGTCCTACTGACCTAATTTCTCCTAAATGCCATTCTGAATTCTGTGACTTTGCTATGGTTAGGCAAGACACTATTAAAGAATATACTGAAAAGTCAGCGCTCAAGCCGTGCAATCTTGATCCTTAATACCTGCCTCAGGGATGAAGAACTGTTTAGATATACTCATTGCCAGTAATAACGAAAATGTTTATTTTATCACTCTCTTCTGGAACCATGCCCGATGCACTCAAAATTGCTGAGCTCCTACCAGCCATTAAGAAACCTGATGCTGATTTTACGAACTTGTCTTTTTATAATTTTCGTCCGAACTCGAATTTGAAAATGGTGTCCAAAGTCATTGAAAAGGCGGTGGCAGTACAGTTAATAGCCCGTGTTTATACCCACCACCTAAATGAACGGTTCCAGTCAGGTTACAAACTCTGATCTATCACTCTGCTGAGACTGCTCTTGTAAGAGTGCAGAATGACATTCTTTGTGCCATTGACAGTAACCATACGTACATACATACATACATACATACACACTTACATTTTTTATTGTGTTTTCAGGTAAAAGTACAATTATAACATGTCCGCGGGTAGCTAAGCTAATCTAGGCGGGTCATGTTTACAGTGATTCTTTTATTATTAGATCTTTCTGCGGCTTTCGATACTGTAGACCATTCTGTTCTGTTATCTAGATTATCAGACCGATTTGGTGTCAATGGTACGGTTCTCAAGGGTGGGTCTTGGGCCCCCTTCTTTATGTATTATACACCGCACCTGTTGCTGACATCATTAAGTCTCATAATCTACAGTATCAGTTCTATGGTGACAACACACAATTTCACGACACCTTTAAGACTAACTGTGATGTTGATGCTGGCCTGTCCAGGTCAAGGGTTGAACACTGTGTTGCAGATATCAGGGGCACCCAACGACAATTTTCGGAAAAATATCTGTTCGGAAGACGATTTGAGATCTAGAATTTTCGGAACATTTGTTGTAAAATTTCTTGCTTGCCTGCTTCTCCTAGGATTTTCTAACATCTAAAAAATGGTATAATTGTCTATTTTTGACGGATTTTTACGCTAAAAAGATAACCTAGAATTTTCGGGAGCCTTTTTTCTGGCTGAAATTTTCGAAAAGGGAAGTTTTGATCCCTATAATTTTCTGATCACTAGACTTTCAGCTAGGAAATCCGAACAGATGAAAACTTTTTAGGGGATAAAAATATAAGTATATCTACCGTTTAAATACCAAAATACGTTTAACAATGCTATGTTTAAGTGGTTTTGAACTATATTCTCGTTGGGTGCCCCCGTTTAAGACCAACTGTGATGTTGATGCTGGCCTGTCCAGGTCAAGGGTTGAACACTGTGTTGCAGATATCCGTAGATGGATGACTAATAATAAGCTAAATATTAACGAGAATAACACGGAGTTATATACTCCATGCAAGTATCGATCACGGCCAATGGTCACTTCTATTCACGTGGGAGTTGAAAACATTAAACACCAGCCCTTTGTAAGAAATTCGGGAGTGATACTTGACCAGGATATATATCACCTAAATATCAGATCAATAGGCTGCAATTAGTATTGAACACTGCTGCGAGTGTGGTCACTCTTGCTTGCAAATATGACCATATAATGACTCCTTTAGTAAAGTCCGGCTGCACTGGTTACCTGTATCTCAACGATTTACTTTTAAGATTTTCTATTAATTTATAAAGCACTTTACGGCTTGGCGCCTATTTATCGATCCGACGTTTTGGCCCCGCGCGCTGGTCTAAACGTTCACTTAGATCTTGTTCTCAGGAGTTTTTAAGAGCTCACGACTGTAAATATCGAAAATCGCTGGCCAGGCTAAAAAAATAGAAAATTCTCATAATTTGTCATAATTTGTCCGGAATCTAAATCCGGATTCCCCAAACAAACGCGAAATCCGATAACGGATTTTACCTCCGAGAAATCCGTCCTCAGGGTGGATTTCAATTAAGAAATCCAAATCCGGAATTTTTGGATTACCCTGTTACCGTTCGATTGGGAAATCCGAAAAAAGATTTGCAAAACTATTCTCGTGAACAGCGGTCTTCTTTTTACTAATTATGCGTGCGCATGCAAGACCGCTGTTCCTAAGTACAGTTTTTCACATCCTTTTTAGGATTTCCCAATTGAACGGTAAAAAGGAAAATCCAAAAACAAATATTTCGGAGTTGAAATCCGTTTTTGGATTTCGCGTTCGATTGGAAATCCGAAATCCGGATTTTAAAATCTAAATCCAGATTTCCCAATCGAACGCACCCTGTATGTGCTTGTGTGGTCGATCTGTCATGCAAATATATTTAAAGTTCGTTGTTGTTGTTGTCAGAGATGCTGAAATCTGATTTTTTACTACGTATTCTCGACAACAAACCGTCCCTTGGTTTATTTCTTTACCTTTTCACAAATAGAGGCATAATTAGAGAAGAAGTTCATACGGTCCAGTGGTTTCTCCCCTACAAAGCATCTTTACCGCCCAAACCGTAGTGTGTGAATCTATACGCGGCCTGTACGCGCAACCCACGAACCAAAGCAAGTTCCAACCGACGCCGCGGAAGAACTGGAAAAGGAGACTACAGTCCAACCTCCCGTAAGCGACCACCCAAAATGCGAAGACATAGTGGTCGATTATGGTAGGTGGTCTCTTACGAGAATCGAACCACAGGTCGGAGGTTTCTTCTGAGAAGAAAACCCGACTAGGAGCCGAGTAATCGGCTCCTGGCCCGACACAATTTAAGGAAGAGAATTTATTGCATGCAATTTCCAAGTTACGATATGTGCAGTTCCATTTTGTTGTTGTTCCTACCATAAGAGATCAGCAAACTCGTCAAGGGGTCGCGTACAAGAGGTTAAAAACATTGCAAAATCATTAAACCGTCAGTTCCAATTAGTGGTTACAGTCGCTTACAGGAGAGATCCCAACTGTCTGAGACTTAAACCGAGTACGTTTTGGTGTTTTGGATAGGTGGTCGCTTAAGGGAGGTGATCACACATGGAGGCTCAACTTTACTCCAATTTTTCCGTCAGAGTAACTCCGTTTCACGTCGGTGCGACTAGGATTTCTCGATGGGAGATTAGACTCCTTCTTCACCACTTTTGAGCTACTCTAACCGACTCCCACCCATACCAAGTGCTTGCAAAACGTAACATCTTCTTGAAAAGAGAAGTATCAGAAAGGTCATCCTTCGCGCCCCTGACCTATCGCAGTAAGCGGCAACGAACTTCAGTATCGACGTAAGTACCATTTACTAACCGGGCAGTGGGGCGATGCAGAGCAGTTTACAACAGACCCGAGTTTTGTTTAAAGAAACACCTGCCTTTTCCTCAGAAGTATTTATGTCAGTACCCGCAATGTCCCAGCTTGCGCCTTCACACCAGAACGTCCGATCAAATCACTGTGTAGTTGATAGCGAGCAAGAGGCTAAATAACATAGCGAGAGGTACCAGTAATTTATAAGTAAGTAGCATCGGCGTTTTTATTTACGCCTAACCGTTTCCCAAAGTAAAGTAGGAAAGAACTTAAGAAAAAGGGAAAGAAGATTTATGCGATAAAACTGCTCTTCAATTGATGTTTAGCTATGGCCTATGGGATACCCTGGGTGCCAGAGGCTTTTCATGCGCGGTTTCAGGTTTCGGTCATGTCTTACAAAATGACCCGCGCGAAAAGCTTCGCCGCTCGTGTCTTCGGCCTTTGGCCGACGAAACGAAGCTCCTCGTCGCACGCGAGAAAAAACCTCTTGTACCCAGGGTACCTACGGGAGGGAGTGGGGGCTATTTAATCGCTGAATAACATGTGACGTTACCAAAAAATATGACGGAAAAAGCCATTTTTTTCCTTGGTTTGGAATTTTGACCATTAAAATTTTAGCTCTAGCCATTTCGTGATACCAGGGAAAAAAATCCAATATTTAGATATTTCCCTCTTAGCAGCGGGCCCTCTAATTAGTTACTCTGCCCTTAAAATTTAAACGGCATCTAATATTATTTCTCCGCTGGAACGAAACATGAAAAGAACGGCTGATTACAGATTGTCGATGTAGCTTGAGGCGGGGCTTCTGGTCTGCTTGTGACCCTTCTTATCAAGAAGACCCCAAATCAAGGTCCTATGTGGCGAGGATATTTGCTGTTTTAGGTTAATTCTGTGCTAAAGTCATTACTTATTGTCTGTACCCAGTAATAAATTGTTCCTGCAGAGTTACATGTGGGGCACGAAGAAGATATCAACAAACACATTTTATCAGGGAACGTCTCAGGGAGCACTAACCAAAAATATATGTTTTTGTGGGTGATGCATTTGAAAAAGATGGCCCAATTTTTTTAATTTTTAGTTCATACCCATCCTTTCCATCAGGAGCAACCACAGATAACCCAAGCTCGAAAAATGAGCATTTGCGAGCATCGGCATCAGGGACGTAGCCACGCCACAGCCAATAGACCTGTAGGCGCGGGCCTAAAAAAATTTTTGGTTTGACCACTCCCTACCGCTTTTAATGAATTATGCGTTATTGGGGTGAACTAGAAAGCTCAAGAGGTCAAAGTGTTTGGTCAGACTAGTCATGCGTGCAGTTTTCAGGATATGTGAAAATGAAAGTCAGCCAGGCCTACAAATAGTCGAAAAGCTGGCTACGCCCCTGGGCATTGTTGGGTAACATTAGGAATATAAGAATTTGTATGGGGAAAAAACCTATCTTTTCTGTAACCTACATAAAATGTGTTAATGATATATGAAATAAATCATGTATGAACTGCGGAAATGAAATGAAAATGAAGAAATGATAGTCGCAGTGAACGCAATTTATGCAATTGCGTAAAGAAGCCTGAAAAAAAAATTGAGGACTTGAACGGGGTTTGAACCCGTTACCTCGCGATTACTGGTGTGATGCTCTACCAACTGAGCTATGAAGCCAGGTCAATTGTGGGTTCATATGTTTCCGTGAAAGAAATGAGTGTTAATGATATACGAAATAATTGCATAAATTACGTTCACTGCGACGATCATTTCTTCATTTTCATTTCATTTCCGCAGTTCATATATGATTTATTTCATATATCATTAACACTCATTTCTTTCACGGGAACATATGAAACCACAATTGACCTGCTCCCAACGTCAGTGGCTTCATAGCTCAGTTGGTAGAGCATCGCACCGCTAATCGCGAGGTCACGGGTTCAAACCCCGTTGAAGTCCTGAATTTTTTTCAGGCTTCTTTACGTAATTGCATAAATTGCGTTCGCTGCGACGATCATTTCTTCATTTTCACTACATAAAATTTGTTACATATCTGTGACGTCACGATGGCCAAACACATTGGACAGCCGCGCTCACGAGTTTATGACTCCTTCCTGATCTCAACTTTGTTGTCCAACATGTGTGCATTATCAGCTGTGTTCCCAAACTAGCTAGGAAGTATGAGATTGAACATTGATCGCGATCTAGTAAAACAATTAACTGGTCAGCGGACACCTTCCATTTAAATCTCGTCACCTCTATGAGTTGACACATGAGTCCGCGATGTGGTCATGTGATACTGGTCAGTGGCTATCCTGTTTTGACAGCTGTCAATAGGCTATTTCCGAGTTCCAAAAAATCTCACTTTCAAAACGAGGCTAAGTGCGAAACCCTTTGTTGTGAAAATGAGTTGTATTTGCATCATAATTAAAACTCATTTTCATAACAATGGCTTCGCACTTAGCCTCACTTTGAAAGTGACATTTTTTGGAACTCGGAAATGGCCTATTGACATATTGTGAATGTCGAATATAAAAGATGTGGATTTGCCAAAACACGCCTGAGACACCCCTCCCTTCCTTTTTATAGTGTCTCCTACCCCACCCGTACCATTTGTAGACGCGTACATACGTACGTACGTACGCTCGGTCAATCACGTGACAACCAAACGAAAAGAGGTTGACCATATTCTGTGAGTATGGGGCTTGGATTTTCTTCTCCAGTCGATTAACGCAGTTTCTATAGCTTTAATAGAAGAATTAAAAGATACATTGAAAATAGGTACAATTTATGATCCAGAGCAATCAATGGAGGTAAAATCAGAAACTTTACGTGGGCTAACATCATCAACAAAGCCACACTCCGCCGAATGGACACTTTTATCCGCCATATTGATCCTCCAGCAAAGCATGATGGTCTACTCTGTCGGTTTTGGTTTTGGCGTTTGCTTTTTTGGTTTTCCTTTTTTTAAATGTTTATAACTAGGTTTTGGTTTTGGTTTTCATAATATGATTTAAAAGCAAAAACAAAAACTGAAAATAAGAATTTAAGGCATAGATGAAAAAAAAAAACGAAATTAGAGAAGTCAAAGCAAAACTGAAAAGTAAAACGAAATAGATCGGTAAAAATAAAAAAGTTAGAAATAAAAAGGGAAAAAGTAAAAAATAAAAACCGAAAGGCAAAACAGCGAAGTGAAAATCAAAACGTTAAAAACGAAAAAGGAAAAGTAAAAAATAAAATCGGAAATCTCAACCGAAAAGCAAAATGGCGAAGTGAAAATCAAAACGTTGAAAACGAAAACGGAAAAGTAAAAACTAAAAAAGGAAATCTCAGCCAAAAAGCAAAGTAAAAAGCAAAACGTTAAAAACAAAAATGGAAAAGTGAAAAAAAAAAAAGGAAATCACAAAGTGGCCCCCCTGGGCTTCCGTACCGTAAAGAGCTGAAGAGGGAAATTGATCGTTACCAGGAGCTACTTCAGTGGCGTCAGTTATCCTTCTGTTCGATTCGCTGGGTTTTGAATAAATATTGCATCCGGTAGATTCACCGAACAACCCAGAATAGAATAGAATAGAATAGAATTATTTATTTAGTGTCGAAGACGTGGGAAGTGTTTGCACAATCTTCCGAGCCAGAGGCTCATGTTAAAGACAAAATGTGAATTAAGCATGTTCAAATATAAAAAACCTATGTAACTATTAAGTACCTCGTAATTTTGGGAAATTTTTTTTAGAAACTATTTTTTTGAAAAAAAAAAAAACCCTAAAAAAAGGCTGCATTAAAGATAGTTTAAAATGGACTAATCCTAATTAGACACTGATAAAGCCCAAGAGTATGTAAAAATGTAAAATAGGTAAAATTATATACAGTTCATACACTGGCACCCTCTGAAATTAACATTATTCAGACGAGAACGAAATTGTGCTAAAGGTGACAGCTGGTAACTGATAGGTTTTGATTTATAGCGACGTTTCACTGAAGATTAAAAAAGTCTTCAAATCCAATGTTAGGGGTCAGAGAACAAGAGAGAATAGAGACGACGTGCGTGGGGTGACCCTATCTGGTGGAATGGCGGACTGACGGAATGATGGAACGGATTGTCGGAATAAACGGAATATACGGAATAATCTAAGACACGGAATTTTCAGAATATTTTGTATTTGATTTGAACTGGACTGACAAAAAAGCAGAGGCAAAAAATACACGGTTGTTTTGAACTTTTAAAAATTCAATTTTCCTCCTGCAGTACACTATAGACCTGATGACGGTTTTGAAAGCCATATTGACGGGTGAAGGATCTTGTATATATAGGAATCTACTTTCGGATGATTTTCATAAAACGGCTGTTCTGAAAAAAAAAAGAAAAGAATTGTAAACTTAACCTTCATAGCAAAGGATTGTACTAACAATTAATGGGGGCCGCACCTGTTCCTAAATTTGTCTGCTTGCTTTAGATTTTCCACACATTTGTCTTCGTTGTCTTCAATTTTTCGTGGAAATTTTAGTCGGCAAGAAGAAAATAATTTACACACAACCACTGTATATTTTCACGCGGCTACCTACCAGTCAAGATGGCCTCCAAAACCGTGATTACCGTAATGATTCGATTTAGTGCCCTCCTTCCAATAAGCGCCCCCTTTCGAATAAGCCCCCCTTTGACTGCGTTTTTGATGTGTTTTTGCTCATAAGCGCCCCTATTCTTATATTATATTAGAGTACGGCTACGTATCAACCGAGGTTCACCTTCCTTTAACTGCTCACAGACGAACGGTAATGCCACATTACAAAAACAGTGGTCTTATGTCCATGTGACGGTGCATAAACTCTTCAAACGAATGATCTCTTCTTCACCTTTTGTGGCGATTGCTCGGCTGGTTGTTCTGGCGAGGAAGGATCCACGGACAACGAGTCCGTTTTCCAGTCTCCTTGAGTTGCACTTTGTTCTCACTGCGAGCTTTTTTTTTGTGGGAAGGCAACGTCTACCATATATCGGCACGTGCCCAATAACTGTTTGTTATCAGCTTCAAGGTAAGTTCCTCACGTTAATTGAACATTCACCGTCAGTACAGTATTTGTTACTGTTACAGTTTCTGTCATTGTTCGTTTTAAATAAATATTAAAGTCTTTTTGAACATTTGGTTGTTTCTCAAAAAAAGAAATAAGCGCCCTGTCCCGAATAAGCGCCCTCCCTTGAGGCACCAAAAGTAAATAAATGCCCCGGGCGCTAAATCGAATCATTACGGTAAGTCTGTTTTTTTTACTTGTCATGCGCTTAAACATGTTTTGAGTTTTATTGAGGGTAAAATTATATAGAAATGATCCGAAGAGAAAAAACTTAGTATTACTTAGAGTTAGCGTGAGGTTCGAGTCAGTAGCGAGGGTTCGAGTTATGGTTGTCGACTGTATAAATGTATATCATTTAAAAAGATTTTTTCTCTTATTCTGCGTTTTAGAATATTCCATATATTTTTTAGAATATTCTGTAAATTCCGTATTTTAGAATATTCCATTTATTCCGCCATTCCGTCAGTCCGTCAGTCCACCATTCCTTCCCATATAGTCACCCACGTGTGGGTAAAAGAAGTACTTATTGTTTATAGACCAACTTCTTACTTCCTCGGCTTTCGTAGCCTCCCCGCAGACGTCCTTTGGGGTTCGTTTGTCACGCATTCATTTCTCTCCCGCTACGGCTTTCGTACATTAGACCCTTAGGGAGTATTCATAATTTACCTAGAGGGTGGGCTATGATGATTTTGAGGGGGGGTCACTCTTTTTCCCTACTTTGATTTAGGGGGGGCTGTGGAAAATTTCCAATGAAAGTTACATCGAGCATAGGGGGGGCCAACTATTTTTCTCCTGAAAGAGAAAAGGAAATGAAAATATGCTGTTGGACGCTCTTTTAATTCCTGTCTTTTATTTCATTTCGACAAAATGTTGATACAGAACTAGAGTATGAAACTTGATGCATGACGCCCACTTCTTGTGCTACAAGGTCTCTTTGCAAGTGGCTCCAAGAGTTGAAAGATGACTTGCTAGATGATACGGCATGGCCAGTTGTTATGCAGTGGTTTAATGAAGATCATTAGGGTCCTCTAAACAGATCTTCATTTAAAAACACTTCACTAACAACTGACCATGATCTATCAGATCATTAGCTTCTAAATCTGCTTGAATCAATTTATATGGAATGTATGTTCAGTGCAACTAAAAGACTACTTTCTCTCCAGTACCAATTCAGATAGTTAAATTTATTATTAGCCAATCATTCAATCAGTTTTTCTCAAGAATGTCCAAAATAGAACAATTTTGAATTAAAAATGTATAGAGATTTAATTGTACTAGCCTCCCCGCATACGTCCTTTGGGGTTCGTTTGTCATGAATGGGTGACAAACGAACCCCTAAGGACGTCTGCGGGGAGGCTATAATTGTGCTGGGGAGTTGGGGGGGCTACGATATTTTCCCTTGATAAATCAACATCTCTTTGAGGGGGTCAGAAAAAACCCCTGAGATGATCGGGGGGCTTCAAAAAAATGAAAGGAAAAAATAAGGAAATCATCATAGCCCACCCTCTAGATAAATTATGAATGCTCCCTTAGACCCTTTCTTGCCAGGAGTGCCATAATCCAAAATGGAGGATGATCAGAGAACGTCCACGACACGAACTCGTACTTGTAGCAGTTGCTGTGATATTCTCTGGATCGTAACCACAAAGGAGGGATGGCTGAAGCTCATTGAAGCAATCATGACGTTTCTAACCTTCGTGATTTGTGCCGCTTTTCCCTTCACCGACAAACCAGAGTATGAGTTCCTGATCTTCGTCGCCACAACTTTGTTCGTTTTTATGGTATTGTACATCATCCTTGGCACGACCCATCTACTTGAGAAGCTACCTCCAGCCCTGAGACATCCCATTCTTGGCGTGGTGTTCTGCTTTTTTGCTTTCTTAACCCTGCTGATCGGTTCCGGAATCGTGTTTGCAAGAGGCTCAGACTTTAACATTCGCACTTTGGAGGCTGCGGGATTTGCGGTTTCATTTCATCAGCACTATTCTTTTTTTTTGAAGGTGTTTACTACTTCATCCTCTATCGCCGAGCACCAAGACGGCACGCAGAAAAAAATACCTCAAGAAGAACAACCTGGTGATGTTCTGCAGCCTTCCAAACCCGAGTACTGACTCGTTCTTGAGAGGGAACTTTATTGGTAAGCATAAACCATGTCGCGAGAGTTTATATAATTAGTTTCAGGCGCTAGCGATAGCCCTGGAGGACGTTGGGCAATCAAAACAAGTCGAATGAACTAATTTAGAAGTGGAACACAATGTCAAACGCTTGAAACTTTGCGTTTCTTCAAATGCTATATTAACCAGAAAAAATTGTCCCACGTCATTTTTACCGCGTGTGCAAACCTGCTTTTACCGGGGGGTACACGCAGCTGAATCCCTCAGGAGGGTAATCAAAAGAGTTTTGTACGGGAAGGCTCTGCCCGGAGGTCAAATCCCTTACCCTGGCTTTTTATATACCATTTTTGATGGAAAAGGTAACCCTTTCATATGCATCACATTCAGAAATGATACCCCTAAAAAACTAGTTTAGAACTCTGCGTCCCTTTTAACCGTTGTTTTCAATAATGAATAGCCCACAAAACCAGAATGTTTTCTTGACTTTTTGGCAGCCAAATAAGGTTAGCTCTTTTGGGCTTTTTTACAGACCAAAATGACAGAGGGTCCACAATAGGTTTGGTGGGATGCGGGATTTGGCTATTTTTTGTGGTGATACTCGGGATGTAAGCTAAAAAAAGGAGCAAGAGGCGGGAATTTTGAAAATGAGTGGGAGCGGGATTTCCTATTTTTATTGGGTTGGGATGCGGGAATCGTAAGGGAAAAGTAGCGGTATACGGCAATTAAGTTTTGTCGTGACCACATTTTGACTCTTTTGTGTACACAGCCCTTGTACAAGGATCTACTTGTCGTCAAGGAAATGAAGCCTGTCAAATTTATCCATTATTACCTTAGCGTGTTTTCGTCTTATTCCGGTAGTTTTTAAACACGGCGTGCGCGAACGGTCAAAGGAGAGGTCCGAGTGAGGCCAAAAAACGAATTAGACTAGGCACTGAGACGCGAAAAATGTGCGGTTAATTTTATACAGTCTTTGCCCGTACTTCGCACCTTTTAAAACCGATTGTGAGGAAAAAAAAGACTGTTTTGCAAACTATTGCAGATCAAGTGCACCTATTTTTGTGCGGATTCAAATATGGAAGAAAATAGAAAGATTTTAAACAGGAATGAGTACAAGCAGCAGTACAAAAGAGAAAGAAATCGAGGACCGAGTCCAAGAAGGGTGGAATAGTGAACTTTTGGGGGTTGTCTGCATTTGATTGTGTTGTTCGATTCTGTAGCAGGTTTTTGTTTCCATAAAAGAGAACATTTTATCAATCTGTGCAACCAGTGTGTTCATACACATTTTCCATGACCCGTAGACAATTCAGGGTGGCTTCATCGCCTAATGCAATCTAGCAGTAAAGCAATAGAAACATCCATCCACCCAACTCAACTGGCTGTTTCCAAATGGCCAGAACTCAGACCGAAGTAAACCTATGCCTATTGCAAGAAGGCAAGTCTTATATGAGAGCAAGAAACTCGTAAAAAAAATTAGGGCGGGATCAGTATTCAGACGTAAAAACAGGCATGATAGCAGGATTGAGAGGGAAAAACAAGTGGGAAGGCAGGATTTGAGAACCTTATTGTGGACCCTCCCTTTCCCTACCCTTTTATATACTTCAACTAGTGAACTCCCTACCCTTTCATATACCTGAGACCTGAAAAAGGTACCCTTTTTGGGTGGAGCCTCCCCATTAAGCCATTATAGGGAGTACCCCCCCGGCCCCCCTCATATATTAGTCCAGGTTTAGGGTTAGGTTAAGCGACTCAAAATGCCACAAAAACATGGAGGCCCACACCAAAAACAATGTAAGTAATCTTTATTCATCTTTCTCTCCTTACATTCACGTTTGTGATCAAAAGGTGCAAACTTTTGTGTTTTATGAAGCATTTCGTTTGATCACTTAAATCAGGCTGAGAGCAGGTGTTACAAAATACAGTATATGTGTGAGATCACGTGTTGCACGTGACATCACAGTGTTTCCAACAGTTTGAATGGTCTGCCTGTGGTTTGTGATAAGAAAATGCAAAGGTTGGGGAAGCTACTTACAGGGCTCAAAGTTTAAATTTGAGTTTGGCAGCACTTGTGCTACCAGATGTAAATTTTTAGGTGCACAGCTGAAAATTTTAGGAGCACAGCTTATAATGTTGGGAGCATCTATTTCAAAAGAAAAATTAAAAAGCTTAACAGTGCCACGTTTATTTGTCGTCTTCAGTTTGTTACTTTTACGTCAGTCCTCAGGGGCGGATCCAGGATTTTTTTTAGGAGGGGGTGCACTCGTCTCTTGCTCTACTTCAACTTTAGGCTCGATTACCAGCCGCTGTTCGGGGAAATGAGCCCGCACTCATCCCCCGAAAGAGCGGCTGGACGCGTGTGATTTCCTTTGTTGGCTTAAGCCAGCCGTCTCTCTTCGGGGAGGATCAGAGACCGGACCCGGGAGACGGCGGAAATCGAGCCTACCTCAACTTCTACTTTGCAGAATACCAGTTGTATTAGAAAACCGCAGTTCATCTCAGGGGGGGGGGGGGGGGGGGGGCGCACCCCCTGCACCCTAGATCCGCCCCTGGTCCTGTGGTTGATAAAACACAGCCCATTTACTATGCAGTAATACCACTGTGATTTTTAATACTAATTTCTCTTTTGACAGTACAGTTGTGACTAAAGAAAACTTACACTTGAAAAACAATTCAAAACTGACAACAATGAGTGTGTTGAACGAGAATGAAAATTAATCTTTAATGAATTTGTTAAATGGGCAATGACTTACATGTAACTGGAATACGACTTAAAAAACTTTCTTACCTGGAAAAAAAGGCTCTTAATCCACACTGTTTTTGTTTTGATTTACGTTAAAACTGAAGGTTCGACATGATCGTCCATTGTGCAAAAAGTACATGTTTTGTTTGTAGCATATATTTGCATGTGTCAGCGGTGTTTATTACAAAACAGAAGAGTCTGGGATGGAGTAAAACATCGAAACAAAAAAGAACATTCAAGTTCGTAGAATCCATTGGGAGAAAAGACCAATTAAAAATACACCGTCTTTCTAGTTCGAGTTCGTAAGTATAGTTGGAAGTAAGTCATTCGCACTGTGCTTTGGGTTTTATGGCGCACAGGTACGATTACACATGAATTTTTAGGCGCACAACCAAAAATCCAGTCGCATATGCGACCAGTTAGTCGCTAACTTTGAGCCCTGTACTTACCATTGGCCATTTTGGAGTTGCGTAGGGAACTGGGGCGAGTTGCAAATTTAAACTAATCGATAAACTGACTCAGGAATATAAAAGGTCATGTTAAGATTGGTTATTTGACCAGGGTTGTCGCTCTAAGGTTGAACAGGGATCAAGTTCTGACTCTTGAAACATGGTTATAAAAGATCCATACAAATGTCTGCAATCAGCGTCCCCCAAAACCATGTAAACTCTTAATTTTTTTCACGACTTCTGTGATATTCCTGAAAATGGGCAAACATAGTGATTTTCAAATTATTTCCTTCCAAGCAGTAGATGCATGAAAAATTTTACAGTTTAACAGAAAACAAAGAAAGATGTATGATTATTTTTTCAATTTGCTGGTTTTGCCTCTGAAATATTTACACTGTTCTTTGTGAAACATACACTGCAATAATATTATCTGCTGACCACCACGCAAGGTGACCGCTTTGCAAGTTGTGAGAACATTGTTTCTTGCTCCCAGACCTCATCTCCTTCCCCCTTCCCCCCCTTCCACCCTTGTTGTGAACAGTCTGGTAATTTAAACTCTTCTTCCTAGAAGAAAACTATGTTAACTTGTGATGGTTATTCTTGATCTCTATTTTCATTATTCAGGGGTAATATGACAAACCCTCAATCTTACAGGGAAAAGTAGCCCGCAGACACAGATGCATTTCCAGCTGATGATTGTCTAAGGACCCCTCTAAGGCTGCATGGATGCATCATCTATTTCCTTTGTTGCTCGTGTGAAAGGGCCCCACAAGTAACAAAGAAAATAGCAGACATCTATACATGCAGGCTCTTGTTTGTGTGGCTGAGAAGCCGAAAGCTACTACAGGTGTTTGCAGGTCATGGCTGCTATATGTGACCATCTTCTAATTCTTGCAAAGTTATTATTTTGATATTTGTTGTTACTTTTTTCAGGTGGAGGTGGTCTAACTCGTTAAAGAAACAGAGGAATATATTAGTAAAAGATAAATAGTTTCTGTTAAGTGATAAAAAATAGATTCCTTTTATATATAAATGTTTAAGAAATAGAAAATGTTTATATACCTGCCAACTTTTTCTGAGATATAAGCGTGAGATTTTTATCCTGGGAGTGCTGGGATTTTTGAAGACGACACGATCATTTCCGAAGATTCCTGAAAAAGTCCGAAGTCTTCCAAAGAAGGCCGAAGTCTTCCGAAGACGTCCGAAGTCTGCCGAAGGCGAGCTCGCTCCCAGTGCTTTTCACTTCAAAAATCAGAGATCGCGAGGAAGGTTTTGTCATTTATTCATTTTACACATGGTTTTCGTTCCTTACATGGGTCTGAGTTAACATATTTTTGGAAATTGTGTCAAGCAAGACGGCAACAACTCACATTTTTCAATCAGGCGTGAGAAATTGGCCCGCAAGCATGAGCCGGCGTGAGATCGAAGTTTTCAACCCGCAGGCGTGAGACTCATGCCTAAGGTGTGAGAGTTGGCAGGTATATGTTTACCTTGTTTGCATAACCTATAACCAACACAAGAGGCTGTTGGGAGAATTCACGACAGTTGTGCAGAGGGAGAGGAGACCTTAGAGGAAGTCCGAGGGTTTGCACAACTGTCGAGAATTCTTCCAATCCATCAATTTATTCAAAAAATTTACTTTCCCAACAAACAGAAGCAAATCTCTTTGTTACTGGTGCTGATTAATAAGAAATCATACTAGTCGCCAAGTGTTGAACTCAGTGTTCTCAAAATATGGATTTTTCTTGCTTAAATTGTCAAAAATGCAAAAAAAAACTTTGATACTGCATGTTAGCAAAGATTTCCCAAGTCTAAGCATTCAAGCCGAAATGGAAAGATAAGGTAAACTTTCTGAGTTTTCAGCTCACAAGCCTTTTCAAATTCATGCCTGCATCACAACTGTGTTTATGTGCTTGTGCAAACATGCCTCTCAGCCAATCAGAGCTTGATGCTCATCATGATGACTAGAGGTTTAGGGTGTGGCACAGCTACAATGCCCACCCAGAGTCACTCATGCCTGCACTATTTACTGCCCCACAGGTGAGGTAAGAGCTAACCAGACAAATTGCATAGCAGTAACAATTACCTGTGCACAGGCCTTCCAAAATGTTGTATGGAAAGGGCTGTCATTAAGATTTCAAGTAATATATCAAACATGAGACGCAGTGTTTCATCACCAGATGAAACACTGAGAAGAGAGTTGAAAATACGACGCGCAGCGGAGTATTTTTGACGAACTTCGAGGTGTTTCATCTGGTGATGAAACACTGTGTCGAATGTTTGATATTTCTTCTCAAACAAAATCATTTTTGAAGGAGAAATTAAGGATGCAAATACTGAGCAGTTTTTCATCCGATTTCCAAACACTCATTAAACATTAATTTTCTTTGTATTTTCTTTATGAATTATTAATGAGTTTGAGAAGTTTTCTGGGTGAATACAACAAAAAGGTAAGGGAATTCAGACAGCTAGGGATTTCTTTTCTTTTGGACGTTGCCAGGGTTCTTGTTTATGTTAGTGGGGGAAAAAACATAATAATAACATTTATTTTAAGAGGGTGACACCAATTACTATGAAAAGTATACCAAGCCCCCTGAAAACCCTGCAAACAGCATTTTCAATTGTCCCGGCCTGAGGAATGAATTACCTCTTAGTATAAGAGAGTCAAGTACCAAGTGTCAATTTTTCGTTAGAATTTGATGGCCTTTTATTATGATAAGTTTAATGTAAATTTTCTCTTATTTTACATTGTTCTTTACTCGATCATTTGTCCATTTATAGTAATTTTTTATTGAATTTTTATTTTTTATCTCATGTCTTCTGTAGTTTTTTAATAAATATACTTCTTAAATTTATGTTTTAGATAATTTTATTACTTAATTAATTCTCTAGATCTATTTATGATGTAATAATAGGTGGCTTATTTTTAAGGAGTCTTGTACTCAGAGTGTTTTAAGCCTACCTCAGATTGAGCGATTGATTGATTTAATTGTCATTGTAATTGTAAATCTGAAACTTGATTAAATTAAAAATTAAATTAAATTAAATTATTGTAAAATAGTCCCAGAATTAGATTATTGTAAACTTGATGCACCTTATTTGTATTTGGTGCTAATTTGTGGTTCTTGATAAGCTATCATTGTCATTTTAATGCAATGTTGTATACCATTTTATCTTACAAAGATCTTGAATACTAAAGTTCTAATCCTTTGATTGTTAGTCATGTTGCAGCATCTATTTATTGCTTTGCTCAGTTTTGTTAAGAACTTTCCAACCAAATCCACTGGCATTTAACACTCGTTGACTAGCACAACTATTCCCCTCAAAATATCTTAATGTTTATCTAAGCGCAGGCTCAGAAGTATCGAGATTCATGGTTTCCTTGGGAGCAGCCACTAAGAGTTTCATGTTTAATAAAGTTAATTCAAAAAACCAACTTGTAAAGTTCAAGTATTCACACTTCTACAATTTACAATACAACAACAATAAGAAAAAAAAGAAGCAGAAACAGAGCTAACTATACATTAAATTAAACATAACAAAGGAAAAAAGTGTGTAGCAGCCAAAGGAGCCAAGGTTTCAAATTGGCTACTACCACAGAGCGGTTACAAGTGGGTGGAGGTTATACAGTACTTATAAAAAAGTAGTTATGGAGTTCTGGCTAAATTAATCATATTGAAAAGGAAGGGTATATATGAGTAAAAAGAACTATTTAAATTAAATAATAATATTAAATACGAAGAGCTAAATATATAGCAGATTAAAGTTGTTCAAGATGTCTGACTGTCAAGTAGAAAGAGTTTATATTCTTTTTTAAGGTGTTGCTTCCCAGGTCTGTGATGCCACTATGCTAAACCTTGCTAGGCCATATTTAGTTCTGGAAAATGGTCTGCACAGGTTTGATTAGTGGCACACCTAATATTATAATTATGGACAGCCGAAGCCGGTCGAGCTAAGTCATAGAGGGCAGGAGGTGTATCCTTTTTTTGATATTGAATTTCATGCACAGTACATTTTCTGTTTCCTTTTTACCAAATTTAGGATACCCTTTGTGAGCCATGGCTTATTAAGTTGCCTTTGCTTGCTTTGGCTTGTCAGCTTGATGGGCGCGTGTTTGTCTACAATTTTATTCGTACAGTTGTGAACTTGTTTTTTGTTTATGTGTTTGAGGTCTCTTCCTACTAAAATCAATGTGATTTTGCACGTGTGGGTTAAGTTATATGCCTGGCCCCGGTTGTTCAAATGTTGGTTAGCGCTATCCACCGGATAAATCACTATCCAGCGGATAGCGTAATTAATTTCCGTAATACTTATCCGCTGGATAGTTATTTATCCGGCGGATAGCGCTATTCAACGTTTGAACAACCGGGGCCTGAAGGACAGGGCTATTCCTATAGAGGGGAACAACTTTTTAGCATAGTAGCTTAAGACAAGGAGGTGGTCCTAGGCATGAACCCTGTGGTACCACACATGTCAGCTAAAAGGTGTCAGAGATCCCATCTTGGAATACAACACCCTGTGTTCTATTTGACAGCTAAGATTGGAACCAATCCAGTGCCTTTCCTGTGATGCCAAATGTTTAAATAAGAAGAATGTGATGATCGGCCGTGTCGAAAGCCGCTTTTAAATGCAAAAAGAAAAGTAACAACAACAAAAAAGGTCACCTGTTGGTATCATTTTGCACTTTCGTTGCCATAACGATTCCTTCATCTTAAATCGATTAATCGCACCGTAGGCTAATCGTGGCAATGGGTGCCATAATTAGGCAGTAGGTGATGACAGTTTGGCTGTGAACTTAAGCACACGCTAAGTCTGTTTCACACAGGTATACATCGGGCAAAAAAAGATTACTTGTATCATCAACAAAAGCGGGTGAAAGGTTGTTTGTCGTACTATCGGATGGGACTTCCTGCAACAGTCACGCAGTTGGTTTGTTTTATATGCCTCGGGAGTTTCGAGCGTTAAAAACAAACCAAAGGCGTACGGGCAATTTTTTGTCGGGGGGCGGTAAACCATTTGCCCAAAAAATTCTTGCAAGTTGCCCAAATTTTTACCAAACAGTCGAACAGAAACGAGGGCCATAAGATGCAACAAAATAGGCCGTACTAGCATATGAAAGTGGCTCGGTACAGTTTTTCAGGGTCACGACACCATGAACAAACATTTGGAAAAATTGCCACCACAGTTGTGTTAGATAAAGATGAAAATTTGTTATGATCCGGGTTGAAATAACATCGGAGTTGTCATAGCAACCAAACGATGCCATTACCTATTATACTTGCAGCAACATTTCTCACTGGGAACTGTTCTGCCAACATCGTTCACGGAAGCATTTTCCTCCAATAGTCGCCTCGATGTTCGTCACCAAATTAAAACGGAATCTGTAAGAGCGTTGCGGAGATATTTTGGTATAAAGTTTTTATCGTTAGAAATACGGTAAAAAAGGAAAATCTTGCTGTTTGACCGTTATCTGTAGAAAACGAAGCGCTTTTGACATGCAATTTCACCTCATAGTAGTTTCAATCTTTTTAAAAACGTGGGTAAAAGATCATGGAGATAGCTCCGGTCAAAAAAGGATTTGAGTGTTTAGTATGTATCATGGCGCTCTTGTTAGCGGTTTTGTAAACATTTCGGTCTATACTACTTTAACAAATTAGTGAATAATCTTTAAACCACTCGATAGATTTTTTTGTTTAAAAAATACGATTATTCGCGTAATTCAAACTGAGAATTAGTCAGCCACTTCTTCACTTTCAGACCCGTTGCTGATGCTATCTGCCATACACTGTTCTACGAGTGGAGATGATTCTAGAAAGTTAGGCGGAAGTTTATTCTAATTAATTCACGACTGGAAATTGCCCATTGCAGTACAGTGCCCAACAATAAAAAAAAAAACAGCACATGATACCCTTCCCTTATAACCAGAAACTCATTACGTGCTAGGCAACCACTGTCTCCTGTAAATGTAACAGAACTGGATTATTACGCCAACTTCAGGTTAAAATAGAAAATATTTATCTCTTCAAAATAATGATTTAAAAAACACGGAAACGTCTTAAAAAAAACTGGCTTTGCCCAAATTTTCTCTCGCTGCCCAAAAAATCTGAGTTGCCCAAAATTTGGGGGGGCTGCAGCCCCCCTCGCCCCCCCGGCCCGTACGCCTATGCAACTATGTGCCTGACAAGCGACGCGAACGACTTCGTAATGGGTCCAGTCAATTCCAAGCCTGCCCATCCCACCCGCGCATTTGTCAGGCATCGGGCATTTGTCATAATTTATTATATTGTAGCCTGCAAGCAAGCTCTCCTATTTGGCATGGGCGAGCCAAGCGAACCGCAAGAAAACGCGCGAGGGGCCCCCACGCCCCGCTTTCGCGTCTACCCTGGGGGGGCGGGGGGGGAAGGGTACTGCCATATATGGGCGATATAGGTATGTGCCGCTGTGAAGGGTATGGTTTTCAAGCAGTTTACTCTAGGACAGGGTATATAAATCAGAGCGTTTGGGTCTAGAATAGGGTATCATTTTTCAGGAAACTGATCAGATGGTTGAAGAGTTTATCTAGACTAGGGATTGTGGTATAAGGTTTTGTTTTGGCTAGACTGTTTTAGTAACCTCAGTAGTTTCTGGAAAACAGCTACTCCAGGATAGGGGGGATTTGGGGAGGTTACTCTAGTATAGGGTAGCAAAATTCAGCTGAACTAGCTCTGGTATAGGTTAAGGGTTCCAGGGTCCCAGCAGCACATCCCCACCCAGAAATTCCTAAAGTACCCCCCCGGGTGTCTACTTTTCACGACATACCCCAACGGGAGAGCTTGCTCGCACGCTAATTTTATTACCGCACCTCCCAAAGTTCATTTCATGTGTTGCCCTTTGTTTCAAAACAATATTTGGTAAGCTTACAGATTGCTTTTATAATTGAGCAATTAGTAATGAATGAGGCTGAGTAGGATATGAAGAATGCAGAATTCTTCAAATCCTATGAAAGCCGAATTCAATATTTGTTTTATTGTACCTTCAAAATAATTCCAAGTTTAAAAACAAGCTAAAACATGCTAACCTCGGTCGATGTAAGTTCATGTCGATAATGCATCTTTATTGGAAAGTTTAAGAGATTAAGGTCTCCTCAGGTCTCACTCTGCAAATATACTCCAAATGGCAGATGTTTTTCGTCGGTGTCTTCTTGCTGTTCTTGTGATGTTTTTAGACAATATTTCGCCGTGAAACGAGTAAAACCGCCGACAGTTCCAAGATCCAACGACGCGGACGGCAACGAAAAGGTAAAAATAGCAATTGGTTTAATAAGCAAAACAACAACTTCGCACGTGCACCACACTTTTTTGTACATTTCTTTCCCGGTTTTTGCACGACTACGACGTGAAAATGCCGTATTTCGCGTTTATGGAGGACGTAAACAAGCAACGACGAAATTTTATTTCTCTTTCTGAGCTTGGATATGGTCATTTGAAATTCAGCTTCAGAAGGGTTCGCCTACGTAGGTAGGAATAATCGCTATAAAGACTGAAAGAATGCAAATTCACTTTTTAAGCGACCTTCTCGTTGCCGTCGCGTCGTTGAATCTTAAAGTCCCTAATATTGTTTGTTCTAACAACCTAAAACAACCTAAACAACTCAACCTCGTCCCCTAGTTTTCTCGGTCAACGGTTCAATTTTGGCTGCAATTTTGAAGTCACCGGTTTTCCCTGTGATAAAATTCTTTCCAAATTTGGTCAATAGTAACTGGGGATGGTGAATTATGCGTGTGGTTTTAACCAATCAGAAAAGGGGAAATATTTTGAATGAATAATAATGACTTATAATGTCTTTCAAGAAGTGTATCCTTTGTGTCAAAAACAGGTACTGGGTCAGTGATTTAAAGCCTTCGAGTTTCCACTTATGCATGGTTCAATTTGACCTGTTACCATCCCCCGAGGCAGCACCCAGGACAAGCCCAGCTCTTCGGGCCCGGGGATGGGGAATTGTTTGAAGCAGTTCTGTCCTGAGGGTAGGGGGTGGGGCAAATAGAGAATAGACAATATTTTATTTGGGGTCTTATACCAGCTGGTACATCAACCGTTTTCCAAATAATTTAAATTTACAATATACCGTAAAATTCCGAAAATAAGCCCCTCCATGTAAAAGCCCCTCCAAATATAAGCCTCCCAATCCAGTAACGCAACAAACCCTCCGTCAAATCGCCCCTCCAAATATAAGCCCCCGGGGGCAAAGCAAAAACGGTAAATTTACTTCCAACTATGAGACTAACTCAATCGATTTAGAAACGCAAATTTCCCTCTGTAGACAAGCCCCTCCGAATAAAAGCCCATCCAAGAATAAGCTCCTCAAAAAGGGCCTTTGAAAAATTTAAGCCCCGGGGCTTATTTTCGGAATTTTACGGTACGCGAAGAACGCGACCGTGTTATTTCTCGCGCGGTTTGCACGAAGCTGCGGAACTTACAGTAAGACTACGTATTTTCAACGGAAAACGCAGGAGAGTGGCTAGGGATCGAGGAACAACCTATCAAAATTAAAGTCTGTAATTGACAGTAAGAGAGAATGAGACCCCGTCCACACGAAGACGATTGTAAACGCAAACGCTAGTAAACGCATATTTTTATCTCCGTCCACACGAAAACGATCATCGTTTACGTAGCGTTTTAACCCGTCCACACGAAA